GGTAAAAACAAACCCTTGTTTGAACAGTGGCATACAACAGCCTGACCACCACCACAAGCTCCAAGTAGTACTGTTCAGCCTAAAAGTTCTTATGAGTGACTGATCTGAACATAAAACCCCCATATTTTTATGTGTTTCTTTTAAAAACTGAGTTCTGGAGACAGAAAAGTTTTGAGCACATTGGGTAATAATACCAAAGAGCATAACATTCCTTATTTTTCCAGCTGAACTCCCCAACAGATTATTAATCACCTCACTAAGTCTTTCAAAATGGGCCATTAATGTTTAATTGATCAGTGGCCCACACAGTGTTTTGATTAGYCTCAGACATCCAGGAAGTAATGAAAACCAGAATAATCTCCAATAATGAACAGGTGCCTGATTTGCAAGAAGAGACACAGAATTGGGGTGTGGGAGTTAATTCCCTCAAAACCATAACAATGCATATGGAAAACTTCTACTTTCCTTTCAACTGTTCACAAGGTGCTCCAGTTCTTTTGCAAGACTTCTTTTCCTATTCCTCTTTTCCCCTGCTGCCAATACTATGAATTACGCAATATCTTCTAATACCATTATTCCCAAATTCCATTTCAGACAGCACGCACACAGCTGGCTCCTGGCTATAGTGTGCAGCTCCCCACCCAAACCTCCCATACATACCCTTCCCTTTGTAAAGTTCAGTCTTTCAGAGAAATTCATCATAATCTTTGTCAGCTTCAAATTAACACAGAAAAAAATATAACCAAGCACATTCTCGGAGCACATCCCCAATGTCAGTGGAATGCACATGCTACTCCTTGTTGCTTGATTGTCTCTCCTTTCTCTCCTCTTGTGTCTTTTCATCATAAAAAAGTCCCTTCAACCCTTTCACCACTGATTTCTTTCTTAGTTTTGCACGCCAAGACCTGAATTTTGACACTTGTTTGATCCTCTAAACTTCATGCATTGCTTTTCATTTCAGTCTTTTTCCAGACCTCTTCATTCCCCCACTTCCCCTTTGTGTCTTCTACTGTGTTCCTTCCAGTCCCGTCTCCTTMATTTTGCACAAATTAGAAATCAAATCCTGATGGGTCCCTTCCAATTCAGCATTTTTTCTATGATTCTGTGATTTTGGCAAATAGGGATAGCTTCAAGCARTCTTCAAATTAAGACTCTTGTTTAKATATTTTGTGGAGTTTCAGTTCCCAAATTTCCCAATACTCCATTGTATTTTGCTGCCTTTCGCTGATGTCATCATTTGTAGATACAATTCTTTGAGGAGGCAGTTGGGATGAACAGCACCTGARTGAGCAAAGCTCAGCCATGCTACCAGTCACATCTAAATTGCTCACTGTGCATCTCCWACTCACAGTCCACTACGTGAGCTACTCATGTCTAGTAGAGGTTGTAACTCTGAATATTTTGGCAACATGAATCATACAAACTGTGTCTCCTAATGAACTGGAAAAAAACCCAAAACCCTGTCCCTCTAAGAAAACTGCCACATTTCCACCTTTGAGATGGCCACACTCAGTGAGATAAATTTGTAAAATCAGACACACCTCTACMTTCACTGCAACACTTGAGCTATCAGGCTCAGTAGAAAAGACAGGGACAAAGAGTAATAGTCTGAGTTAATTGCAGTGAAGACATAGTCCTAAAAAGTCTTGATACTTCCCTAATTCCCCTTCAGGCTTCTCCCTCCCTTTATCAAACAGCCTTTTTGTGCAGGCTGAATCTGGCTAATGCTGTTATCAAGCTCACCATGCACATGCACATACTCCTTTCTGGGATTTCCCTCAGCCTTTAAATTCCAGATAGTTTTCACTGATCTCCCAGAGCTCTAAGCTTCATTGAATATTGCAGCAGAAAAACTACTGACACCACTGTAAGAAAGAGGGAAGAGTGACACTAAAGATGTGGGCAGTTCTCATTGCAATAAAGTAAATTGTAACTTTTAAGTAAAGGAATTAGTGAAGAGAGAATGACTCTTTCTTCAGAATGAAGTGTATTATCAGACCCCATTATTTGGCTCATTTTAACTTTTTCTGAATGCCAGAAAGCATGAGACAACTTCAAATATTTAGTTTCYYTCCTAATTTGAGGGCAACCTCCTMYGCCCTAGGAAARAATATAATTAATTTTCAGAAACAAYGTRTTTGGGAGTATTTGGAGTTTCTAACTTGTGTCTCCACTGTTACATCTGTGGCTAGCTGAAGTTTTCTGTGGCCTAACCCTTCATGAAAAGACATTAGTACTTACAAGGCAGTGAAGTTTTCTCAACTACAGCTGCTTTTAGAGCTTGCTGCTGCATATGGCTATGGTAATTAGTTAGAAGCAGCTCCCAAGAGAACTTATGGAGAAARTTTTCACAGATGTCCTAAGGCACAAGCTGTGTGAAACCTTTGCATCAGGGTAAGGRCCACATGGGTAGGTCCAGTGCAGGATATCAGCAGCATTATGAAACCTACCTTTGATATGCAAATTCTGACTCATGTACCTTTTGAAAAATTGTAATAATATCCTCTGGGTTAAGTTTCAAAGCTCTCACTAAGCATATAAAACCACACTTGATCATTTCCATATATTGTCATCATCATTAGCTAAGAACAYGACTGTCAGCGGTCATTTCAGTTTCAAATTTGCTTTAAGGATGTTCTCATGTAATTTGAATAAATATTAAATTGGCTACATTTTAATTCTAGATTAACAAAATTTTTGCCTGAGAATAAATACTGCAATATGTGGAATGTGTAATTTGTAATGACCCTTGGAGTTACTCCGCTCCCKCTGTTAGCTGCGTAATTTGTGTGACTGAGTTAAATTGTCACCATCTGGGACTGGCTTGAAATCTTCCAACAATAAATATTTGACCTCYCATTTTTCATGGCCAAATCCACAGACATTAGCATCAAGAATACAGTGAAAGCATAGACAGCAAGTGCATCTCCCCCTARATAACTTCAATTTTATGTTCATTACTGAAGATACCGATTCAGTGGCTTACTTATGGACCACATGTATTCTGTCTAAAGTAGGAATTTATCATCCAAAAAAAAATGCTACATTAAAAACTCTGGATAATTAACAGTCTCAGGAAAYAAAACTAAACCCGATGATCAGTGCTGAGGTTATGAAAATAGGCCTGAGAAAATCTACAAGTTTTAATAACTTTGGGTTTTTATTTCCTTAATATTCCCTTGACACCTCAGAAATTTCAACTCTGAATACTGAGGAAAATTAAATGATGGCATTAGCTCTGTCTATGATGTTCAAATGTCCACAAATCCTTATTTTGAGGCAATGGCTAAGGCTGTATGCACAGAGCTTKTCCTGCTGCTCTTCTATTTTCTCTTCATTCCCATGAAGTCCAATCTCACACACACACATGTATACATGCAAAAAAATAGGGGAAGTGAGCCAAGAATAACATCTTTGTGAAAAGTGTTATGCATGGCAGGCTGTGTTTCCCTCTGAGAATGAAGGTAACAATTAGATCAAACACACATCTTTATTATTTCAATGTCTCTGGGATTTTCTGTGAAATGGTATCATTTCAGGTCCCTCAGAGGATGGGAATGGGTTGAAGGCTATAAAATCCAGGCAATAGGAASCCAAAATATTGCAGCTTTAATAAAACCTCTGGTCACCAAACAGGTTGCTAGTGAAGGAGCACCCCATATATCTTGACCCAAAATCGAGGCCTCAAACAGAAATAGTCCTTTTACAMTGTTCAAAGGCAAATTAAATTATTATAACTTTTGGGGGGAAAAATCAATAGAAAATCCTTTTAGTACTGCTCAGTTTCAAGCTCTTGTAAATTTAAAACAGAATCATTTTCAAACAGCTTGCTAGAAATTATGAATAAAACCATAGTGAATCACAGCACCTAATGCAACTTACAGGACATCTTTTGCTTGATGGTTAGAACTGGGACATTAAAAATCTTGCAATCATAGGTTTGTGTGTTTTGGTTAAAACAGGGATGATTAAATTAGATTTTAAATAAGAAAAGAAGTCCTTTGTGTATCTTTAAAGAGATTTATGAACATTGCAAGCAGTGAGGCATTATATGGRTATAACTTAAAGAATGTCTGATTTAAATGTTTCTGCATAACTGAGTTCTAAAAACAATAATTTGCTGTGCCATCTAGACTGATGAGAAGACAAGTCCTTCCATTTTCTGGAAGGAGAAATAATCTATATCATCAGGCAAAAAAAAAAAGACTGTATCTGAACAACTGATTGACTTTCTCTTTTACAYAGAAATAAGAAAGGAAAARATAAAAAAGAACAAACCAGTACAGCATAAAGAAACATATTATAAAATAAATKTATATCATATACAGGTAATTAACATTCTGGGATGTATTACCATACCTTAATATTTCACTTATTTTAATATAAATGCTAACATGCTTAAACAATTTTTCTGGAAAAATCAATTGCTCTTATGAAGTTCACGACTTGCTACTAAAGGGACAGACATACCAGAGTCATGGCTCACAGACATAACTGATGTTTGCAGTGGAAGGGCCTTTTGGCTTCCTTTTTGTTACTGAAAAAGAACTGTATGTGATTGGATTGTAAAGCAATGGAATGGGTTTCAGATCACATACCAAAAAGTATTATATTTTTCACCTGAAAGAAAATATTTTTTTACTCTACTTTCAGATCATATTTTTAGAAATCTGCCTTTTTTTAATTATTTGTTTTAATATGGCTTTCCTGGTGGTAACAAAGGAATTTAAAAAATGTTGCATTTTTTATAAATTTAATTTTATAGTGTTTTCCTTTTGTCTGCACAAAGACTCATATTCTGTTTAATAGAAAACATGCCAGAACTATCTTCATACACATTTTCCACATTCTTCTGTTTGACAAACTTTCACAAAACATATGTCTCAGTCTTGTTTTGGTTTGGCAACTGCAAATGCTACCAGATAACAGTTCCTCTTGCCTGTTGATTCCACAAGTCTAAGACCAAGCAAGAAATACTTTGTGATATGCTGACACTGCTGAATRTTTTGAAAAACTGTTCTAATAACCAGAGTGAAGGTCAAAGACATGCAAGGCATTTTGTCACATCTTGAAAGCTAYCAGGATTGGCTTGAGAACTAATCTCTTCTCACATCTTGCTCTAGGTCTTCAGTTCTGTTAGCCTGGAGGAAACGGCAGCTGAATCTGCACTTTTTTTCTGTTCGTTCTATATTCTGAYTGATATCTCAAGGTGTCACTTCTTCCTTCAACCAAATCTTCAGAAAAGCTGCCCCCATCGTAAAAATGAGAAAATTTAAATTGCAAAAGCTGCCCCTGGGAATGCTGTGTGTCCTCAAAGCATCCTCAGGCAGCTAAACAAACAGGTGCATGCAAAAAAATTGCTGTTGTCGTTGCAGTGAAATAAATTTCTCTGTGATAAAATTGAGAATGGTCCTTTCATGTATTCATTTAAAGCAGACCCCCCTCCTGAATATTCAATAAGTGAATGGCATTGAGAGCTTGCCTGCTTCTGTCTTCCAACTCACTCAAGTTCTTGTATTTGAAGTTGAAAAACCAAAACATGGAGTTTTCTCTGAGCAACCCTCAGAGAGGGCAGAAAAGATGAATTTTGGAGGCTTCCTCCTTCCTGCTTTGTGGGAATTCATACACTAAGTGTCCTTTTCCTCAGGTCTGGGAGGCGATCAGCTGAAAATCGCAGTGCACTGTTTTCAGTGCTCAAACTTGAGTTTGCTAGCCTGTCTCAGGCTCTTTTTTTAAGGAAGATTCTGGCAGGATTCCAACATAGCAACCCCATAATATCATCCTGAAGACAGACTTTTGCATCTCCAGGAGAACCTGGAAACACAAAGGGAACTGTCAGAGTAAACTTCTTGTATCCTGTTCCTGAAAATCATCAAAACACAGGTTTTTCTGAGGGATGCAGGAGAATCTAAGCAGGAGGACGAATGTAAGGCGATGTGCAGGCTCTGGAAATTAGTCTGAAATGCCTCAATAGAACCTTCACAAAGCTGTCACCCATCATCTCCTCACCCCTGTTACCAGCAGCTAGGAAACAAGGATGTTGTCCAGCAATTCCCATGGGATACTGCAACATATGCTCTCCCAGGAAGAAGTTCTCTTCCAACAAGGCATTTTTCCTCCTTTTCCTTGGTGAACAGAAATCACAGAGAATAATTTATCTCAAACTCTCCTGCATTTTGGGAAATCACACTCTGCCAGCATGGATGTGCTGCAGGACCAAGGCAGAGAGAAATGGTTCGTTTTCTGAAAGCAGAGCACTGCGAGAACTGGAACTGTGATGTTCTTTATATCATACGGATTTATATTATAACAATTAAATGATTTATATATTATTACTTCAGTAATAAATTATTATAATATAAAACCACTAACCACTATTGCAACTACATTAATCAAATAGTAAAGGAGCAGATACTTTAGGAAGTGTCCTTAGACATTTTCTTCAGCAGCAAACATTTACTTCACAGGCTCCATATGATRGGGCTAAGGCTGCCCATACTGGTCTGCTGACAGCAGAATATTAACACAAAGTCATTGATGCGTCTTATGGGATCAATATGTACATCTTTCATTGGCAGGTTTCAATATTGGAACTGGTCAGGGAAATGAAAAGTTTTGGAAGATTTAACAGGGTTTGTTCATTGTGTAGTGCAAGCCCACCATAACACAGCTTTTAAAGCAAATACATCTGCTGAGTTTTGTTTGGTTTTAATATTGATGCCAACTCCCATTCAMCCTAGAAGTCAACAGCGGATTTAAATAATTTTCCTTTTATTCTTTACGATATTGTATCTGTGAAACCTTCTTGAGCATTGAATATAATGGAATTAATTTTTTGTGGAACATCATCATAATTTAGGGTACTTCCTTCTTGCATTCTCTTTGGAATGCTRTGACAATGGGGTTGGCACCATTAGYTGAAKMATTGAGCAGTCACAACCAAGGGTGCTGCCAGTGACAGCTGTGCCTGCTTGAAAATCTTCACAGCCACAGCATCAAACATAAATACAGCAAATTCTTAGTTAGCAAAAAAAGTAACTAACGCTTTTGTACATGTTCATCTGTTAGCAAAACATTTGAGTACAACAATAAACTGAAACCTCTAGTTTTAATCAGTCTTATTTTGGCTTTCTGAAGAATAAGAGTAGTTTCTTGTCTCACAGTTGTATTAATTTTTTTTTTCTTAGCATTCACCTAGGGCTGTTARAAATAAAGTTTATACCTTAAGGTTCTGTTTCTGAGTTGGAAAAATGTCTACAGCTACATTCCTCTTAGCACAACAATTACCAAAGTGATACCTCATTCTGAACATCAGGTTTTCAAGCACTGATACACCTCAAGCTTCCTGAAATATGGAGCAAAAAATTCACAACTTTGAATCATTAAGGTYGGAAAAGACCTCCAAGAATATAGAGGCCAACCTTTGACTTGAACAACCACCACCTCAACTAAACCATAGCACTGAGTGGCAAATCCTGTAGTTTCTCAAACATTTCATGGATGGTGACTCCACCACTTCCCTGGGAAGCCCATTCCAATGCATAACAACCCTTTCCGTGAAGAAATCCCTCCTGATGTACAACCTGAACGTCCCCTGGCACAGCTTGAGGCCATTTCCTGACTTTATTCAAAACTGGTCTTAACACTAGAAGTAGACTGTGCTTCAATTTTGTAGTTCAGCAAAGCAGGGAAGATAAAGGAAATATTTTATAAATGCAATGTCCAATTCTACTGGATTTTAATCTTCCATGCATTCAGCAGGATAAACTGTTTTGTTACTCAGTGAGCTCACAGCATTTTAATGCCAACTTTAATGGTGTTTTCCCAGCCACTTGAAAGAATACTTACTTTCGCCTTTCTGCCTCAAATTTACTCAGAAGTTTCCGGAGACCACCATTCTTAAATCCTTGGAAATGCGCTGCYGGGGCTCCCACGGTGATGACATCATACAGGGCATCTGCAATGGGAACAAACACAGACATTTGGATGCTCCTGTGCCCAAGTCATGGCAACAGTGATATTCACTCTACAAAAAGTAAGGACAAGTCTACATCAGTCCCAGGGAATAATTGATAATTCCTGTCCCAAGAAGAMCCAAGAGCTAATCAATCTTTCCAGGCAGCCACCTGCACACCTTAGAAAGTTCATCTGATTAATGGCTACATCTAAATTATGTGCCGCAGTGTAGAACAATATTCCAGCTCTGCAGTTTACAAAGCTGCCAAGTAAATTGGCCCTTTGTGTATTTCACWTTATTGCCCCTTTCATTATTTAACTTGTAGTCATGTTGAGATGCACAGATTCAAGCATTTTAGAGTCAAAAGAGACCATTATGATGGAAAATTCTGACTGAATAATAGAGGCTACAGAATTACAGCTAATGGTTCCTGCATCAAGCTTATGTCTCTTGGTTGAGTGAAGGCATCTTTTTATTTAGGCATCTAATCTTGATTTAAAGACTGCAAGTGACAATGAATTCACTGCATTCCCAGAGAAGTCAATCAGACTAGTAAAAATCTCTACTTCTTTTCTAGTTTGAATTTGCTTAGACATAATGCTGATGYGCTTTCCAATATAATGCTGTTTAATGCTAAATTGGAGAGCTCTGCTCTATGACATACATTAACTTTTTATGTGTTTATGAACAGCAAGTCAGTTGTTTTCAGCTGAGAAGTTACAAGAATAGGAAATAAATTATAGTACTGAAATTCTAGCTGAGACAACAGACTGTTGTCTCYTTCTCTGTGTACCTGATGTCTTATGACATAGGAGATGAACTTTTTGTGTGGATATGTGCCTACAGAACTGGAGATGAAACATAATTTTCAAAACAGCATGTGAYTGATTGTCAGTGAAGAGATGAAGATTTAATTATAAACCAAAACACAGTAATTATTTCTTCAAAATTTAAGTTTACATTTACACTAAGCAGCACCYGTTCTTTACCCAAACTTACTGGAGGTATAAAAATACAATCCAGAATGCCTCATTCTTAAAATGTATTTCTAAAGGAAACATTACATGTTTTTTTTTGTGAATTGCTTTATTCATCAAGGAAGTTTCCCATGTAAATTAAAATCTAGGCCTCTCCTAAAATAGACCTTTTCTTGCATTCTGATGATAAATATCCCCAGAAGCAAGAACACTGTACAAATGATTCACAGTTAATGAACTATGCTTTACTTCCCGAGCTGAATCTCAGAACATATTTGCTCAAATTGATTTGAGCTCTAATGAGTTGGTGACTCTTCAATTTCCACTTAAAAGGAGGAGTGACATAATTTCATTAGCCTAAGGTGAGCTTCAAGATTCTTAAATAGCCCATTCTTTTAGGTCTTAATAGAGATTTATCCATAATACATATTCTTCRGCTATTAGAGCTCCATTGGTACTTGACAATAAGGAGTTCCACTGTTTAAAACAGCAGTGGCTTGAAATCAAGAAAAGAGATGAACTTGTCAGGGTTCTGAATATGTTTAGAGATGACTTGTGAAACGACAGGAAAACATTTAAAAGATTAAACCCTGTCTATTTAAAACAAGCACATATTGTATAAACAAGGACGAAAGCAAAGCTATGTAAATATGTAAATTTAAGCCMTGTAGTATGAAGAACAGAGAATAATTTGGCATTTATCAAAGRGATAGGGGATGCAGTTGACCCATAGGGAAAGAGTATTTTTCTCAAAGCTGGTCCTGCTGGAACTTTAAGCACACGGGTACTTTCTCTGCCATGTCAGCACCCAATAACAACCCAAATCAAATGGCTCATTAGCTTGTTTAAATGCCACCTCTGTGAATTYTTATTCTCCCCCTTCCCCTGTCGTTCTCCTGGATACATTCCAGGTATCCTTTGATATACACTAARCAAAGCATGAGCTGAGAAAGACCAACTTGATATCAAAGTGCTGCATTCTCCAGATTAATTAGCAATTGCTAGAAACTCTTCAGACTGTCTATAYCTAATACAAAACACAGTGAACATTGGTTAAATAAGAGGCAGAGTTTTATAATTTAAAGTTCCAAATTTAGAAGGCAACTAGGACAATTCTAACATTTATCTCTTTCTGTACCCTTTTTGATTATGGATTAACCATGTGCCTCAAGCAAAACGGTTTTGGAGGAGAAAGGAGAAAATTSACAAAGAAACCAAAACAAAACTCAAGTACTGTAAAAGTTGTGGGTGTTTAAGTAAGTGACATAGTTCATTCCACTTGTGTTTTTATTTAACAAATAGGTATACAGTGTCCTGTTCACAAAGAGGTCTTCTTGAAATAACATAGTATTAAGCTTCTGGCCACCATCACAAAATAAAAGTGGTTTTGAGTTAATTTATTAACTTCAAAACATTCAATTAAAATTTGTGCTGTCACATTAGGTCACTATAAATCCTCATCTTGTTCAAATGTTTGAAGGCACTGTTGTTTAGCAAAAGAAGTAAGAAAACATTGAATCAATGCAGTAGCTGGCAGTTAATTGGAAGTCCCTGTGTTCCAGCTTGGAAGTGGATTAACATCAGCCTCACACAATATAAAACTCCTATAACCACTGTTTGTTTACAATCCTAGATGCAAAATGTATTAATAAGGAAAAACATTACAGAGGGTAATTTCCATGTCTGYAGTGACAGCAAATTTAACAGATCTCAATTTAACAACAAATTATTCACTGTGCTATGATTTGGTACGTATCAATATAATCTTTGACCTGTAAAGGGTGCTGCTAAAATCATATGCAAGCAGCAGCAACAGAATTCTGTATTAAAAAGAGCTACAGATGATGCTACAGAAAGTTACCCCCCTTTCCAGGAGATTTTGGAAGTTTGCAGTACTTTCAGCATAATCAGTGAGGTATTTTCCCTTAGCACTAAGCAGATGCTCACATGGGGTAGTTGGGTGTGATGGGGCAGCGCTGCATGAGCTGATTTAGGAACAAACAGCACTGGGTTTACTACAACTTCCTAAGAAATGGGAGATGTTGAGTACAGCAGTAACRCTGCCCTTAATGGAACCATGTACTCGTATCAGATGGGCTGTGAGCTCATCCCTGGAGGAACAGCATTGTATTGTGCTCTATCACTGTCTCTGCTGGCAAACTGGGGAGGGAAAAGGAAAGCCCCCTTAAAACAAGAGCGTGAAGTCTGGCTTTTCCAGCCCAATGATATTACAATGAAAAATTAAGTGGGTGCCTGTGAAGGACATGAATCTTAGTGAGCATTGTGCAGAGTGTCACTATGAATCATGGCAGTATTAGTTCTGCACTGCTACAACAGAATATTTTTAACCATGCATAGGTTACCAATACATTTCAGTGAACATCTATTCTGCATTTCCTTATTTGCTTGAAGTGTCATAGGAACAAAATTATTATTTTGGATTTATTTTTAGAAGGGAACTTAGAAGAAATTTAGTTAACCACCCTTTACTTTTCCAAGATCTGCAGTGTCTCAGCTTGTGGCATCAGAAGATGAGGCAGAGAAATCCCTTGCACAGCTTTAACTTTGGACCTGATTTCAAATTTCTGTATTACTGTATTTCAAAGCATATTTTGTCATACTTCGGGAATTTCTTTACCTTTCAATCGAGGACTATGCACGTGCATTCTTTGCAGATGAAGATTTATTGGGATGAATTCTAGTGTTTTTTCTCCTTTGCTACAGCTTGACTTGAAGGAAGAACCTGAAAAACAAAAATTTAAAGAATCATTCTCTTCAGTACCCAGATGTTTTTGCCTTCCTTTTCATGTCAGGACAACACTTGCATGTTAGGAATCTTCTTTAATTTATTTTTAATGTGTAATTGTACATGAGCAGATGAATGGTTCACTAACTGAGTCTCAGCATGTATCCATACTGGAAGCAACAAACCAGTTCTAATTCACAGAACCATCCAATTTTTTTATTCTAGGGGATAGATACTTTTCCCTGCTGTCTGAAATCAGTCTGCAGTCTGCTGGGAGCAATGCAGTAGTTAATGTGCACTATTTTTATTCTGTGCTGAAGCCACAAGGGTGCAGAGCTATAATGGCACTGCATTTTTGCCAAGTGACATGTTTTTCTTCAAAGAAAAGTATTATATTGAGTACACCACGTATTCTTCTTAGAAAGCTCAAACAAAGAAACACAAACTGTTTTAAGGAAATTTGTAAATTAGTTCACAGGAGGCATGATGCCTTAGAAAAACAAAAAATAAAGAAGATGAATACGGCTGCATATTTCAAAAGTATGAGATTGTGAGTAACTTTATGGTGGTATAAAGAAATGTAATTGAAGTAYAATGTTATGAAAATATAATTTACCTGAAGATATTTGATACAGAATTGGTATAAAATAAAATGGTGCAGATTAGGAAAGAGAGGTGGTCTTGTCTTCTCASTCAGGCAGCCCAACATTTACTTAGGCCATTTTTCAGCACCTTATCACATTGCCAACTGTTAATCATCAGAACTAAAATTCTTCTCATTCAAATAGAATTTWAAAATAAATTTTGTYAAGGTTCAGCCTTTTCTTGAAACAAACACATGAAAAGATAAAGGAAATATTTTAAATAGTTTTTTACTTGCTCAGTCAAGACTTGCTATAGTTTATCTGCTGAAACTGCCATAGATTCCAACAGCACCAAGCCCTGAGCCTCCCAACACAAATACCCTGCCAGAGGTCACCAATGATGCTCCAACCAGCCAAGCCTGCTTAGGCTGCTCCCTAAGATYAGTAACTTAGAATAAAAGTTTAACATAGATAAAGAGCAAATGTAGGAAAAAAAACCAATTGACAGGAGTCAAAGTTTCAGGTTAGACAAGAAACCCGAGGATGCAGACTGAAATCAGAAGCTGCCGACAATGCAGTGGAAAACCTGCATCTGAAAAACACAGAAAGACAATTAGGGGAGTAGTGAAGGCAGCTCAAACTATYGGAAAAGAAATGAGAATAGTGCAGGGAAGAGATTGTGAGTAATTAGGAAAGAGAACAGAAAGGGAACAGATCATTTCTGAGAATTCAGCTGAGACCAAGTTCAAAGCTGAAGGAATGATAATTGGACCTGAAACACGGAAGTATTGGCTGAATAAGAGGAGCATRAGATGACAGCAGATTAAAAGGACAGGTAAAAGAAGAGTAGGAGGGAGAAAAGCCTGCTCTCAGGAGTACCCTTCTGCCCCAAGCAGGAGCACAACACATGCAGTATTGCTGGGTTGTGTTATTTCTTTTCTCAGGGAAGACCTGTGAAGCGAGTATCCCTTCCCATCCAGTGCCAGAAATAGATTGGGTAAGAACCACCCTGTTATCAATTACTCCATTTGCTCAGGTGTGAGATCCATGCAGTGGAATTAACATCTCCACCTGCATTTACCAACAGCACCGACATCATAAACTAACTTTCAGTGTTGTCTGTTTTTTAAGTAACTTGGTTTTATTAAAGAACTAAAAAAAAAATTATATTCCTTCAATTAAAACAGTTCTTGTTATCACTGTTGGAAGATCAAACTCTTCAGAGTYAGGAAATACAGAATATAGATGCAACTTCCATCTGAAATCCACCTGAAGAGGAACTGTGAAATGGGCTTCAATAACATAGCACATACCAGCTCTTCCCAGTTCATTGAATGTTCAGTATTTTTGCTGCTCATTTTAGAAGCAGTGATTCAATATCTTGTTTCCAACTGTTCTTTCAGTATTTATTCAGGATTTAAACATGTTGCTCAAATCTCCCTCAAAGTCAAGGTTATTAATTTCCTCAAACCTGTCTGCTACATGCATATTAACAGCCTCTAAGGGCTTTACAAATTTTTATAGAATAATTTTAATTGGATGAGTAAAAAGGCTGTAATTTTACCCATCCTTCTCTCAGARAATAAGCATTTAAGAAACAGTGTTTCAATATAAGATATGGAGGAACCTGTCCTGCAGAACACTCATTCTAATGCAACACCCTATTCCACTTTGGAAACACAGCTCCCACTGTGCTGAATTGCACCCATGAGTACCAAGCACTTCTGCAAAACAGCTTGTGTTCCAGTGCCAGGCTTCCAAAAATATATATAATAATAAAACACACACTAACAGCTTCTCAAGACTGACTTGCCTAGTGCCACACAGGAGCTTTGTGACACAGGTAGTAGTGTCCAGTTCTTGAGAGCAATGTTCAATTGTATTAACCTGGACTGCGTTTTTTTCTCCTTCTGGGGTTGGATGAATCATAGATTTTTCAGTTTGGTGGCAGAAATTGAAATAAAAAAAATAGGGGGGGTAGGAGAAACAACTTCGGGATGATTTCAGGCCTCAAACAAACAATTTTCAAAGTTCTGCTCCCTCCCAGTATCGCCAAATCTGTTGTTTAGATTCACCTGAAATTATTGGGGTTTATGTTACCTAACTCTTAGAGCTTCCTGGTATATTTCCTTGCAAACAGAATATTTTGCAATCTCTGAAATTCACACATTATTCAGTATAAAAGTGTTTGCCAAAACAAATCAAATTTTAAATATTCTTACTTTTCTTTAACCTCCATTTTCGATAAATATGCTGCGGCACCAAAATTGCTGTCTAATACTGATGTGGTTTCCTGACGCTTCAACAGCAATCTCTCAATTTCAAAAAGAAATTAAGTGTTCTCCTAACAACAGCCTTCTCCACTAAATCCCACAAATAGCTGGGTTGAGTGTGAAGTGGGTGCCACTCAGCCCAGCAAGAGATTGTATTGGAGGAACATGGCAATATTTTGAAGAACTTTCATTTGCAGATGTTTTCTGCTCTTCTGAACACTTCAACCCAAACTCAGGCAATATGCTAAGATGAAGAGACCTGCACAGACTGAACTGAAAAGCAAAATGGTTTTTGGCATGTGTTGAAAAATGTTGACCTGAAAAGTCTGAATTAAAGTTGTCCTCACATCTCAAATCTTAGCAATTTCTGCCTCATAAGTACTCGAATTTGAAGTGTCTACAATGTGCTCTCAGCATAACTATTTGTGTAGCTACAGTATTAAATCAAACACGTGTCTGGCTTCGTTTTCTTATTACCGAATATAATCTTGGTTTTGGGTGTTATAAAGTGTCCTGCTTATAGAGAACAAATGAACAAATTAACACCTCCTTATTTYTCGTCTTTGCTAGAGTTGTTAGGTTGCTTTGTTTTCTGATAATTGCTCCTACTCTTTTATTTGTGCTGGTTCTGTCCTCCTGGATAATCTCATTTTCCCAGGTCCACTTCATTCCTCTAAAAACCCAATTTATACAGGCCCTTTTACATTATCAACCCTTTATAAAGTCACTTGGCACAATGCAGGTCTTGCAGGGTTTATGTTTAATAGATTATACCATCTATTTTTTTTTTTTTAATCTCAAAAGGTCCTTTCAATATTTTCCTGCAAGTTGTAATTATTACATTGATTCCTTCATTATCTGTGTTTATTGGCTTGCTGGTGGCACTTTATGGAGCGTTTTCAAGATGTAATTAGCCAAAGATTGAAAATACATATATATATATATATTATTTAAAACAGAACCACAGGAAGTGTCATACTGGGTTAGACAGTAGTCTGCCAAAATCAGAACTGGAATATTCTGATGATGATAAACAATCATAAATACAAGAAACCATGCTTTTGCAAACAAAAGTGAATTATTATACAACATTTAGTGCAACACATGAGGATTTTTTTCCCTCCCAATAGATATTTAAGCAGTTAATGAGCTGCTCTCAAAACCTTAGTTTCAGTTRGAAACTGCTTTTTCTTCATACACTAAAATAGGATTTCTCTTTTCCTGTGACCAAGAACTCTATCCCAGAGCAATCTGGAATGACAAATACCATGCTCAGTCCTATATTATAAGATAATAGCTATAGGACAAAATTACAGTTTTAATGCCTATTTTGGAAGAGAAAGATTTGTGTCTCACTTAATATAATGCAACAGATTCATTATAATAAAACCAAATGCATCCAATTACCTATAAGAACAAATTTTTCTATTATGTATTTTAGTTGTATAATGAACCTGATTKCTCCTTTTCTCAGTACACACACAAAGAAGTTTAGTTTGGAATATGCAGAAAGCCAGAAGTAATGAAGAAAATACTGTGAATACTTCATAAATATTTGCCAGGTATTTCTCAAGATGCTATCATCACTTCTACCTCTATTTTCACAAATATTCATAACCATAATGTATCTTTCYCTCTGAAATATTCCAGTGTTTATCTCTGACATGCACTCCTATGCCTACACACACAAAATTGTGGGAGCAAGGCCACAGTGGGAACATCTAATGGTGAAAATGTAGAGGAAAAACAGCATTTGCAAGCAATAAGCATTGGCWGTGTGGTCATTGAAAACGTGTCTGAGATGGTGGTTGTGAGGACTGGTGTKAGGAATCTGACACTGGCAAGAAAGCAACAACAGTGATAGGGCCTTTGTGGTAATCCAGAGCACACGTGTCCATTTTCTTATGGAACATCCCATAAACTGGGCAGGGAGAAAGGAAGGACAACAGGAAGAGGCAGAAAGGCCTGATGTAAACAGACAGAAAACTGTGCCTGATCAAAACACTGAGGGATTCAGGAAATTATTCTGGTAGCCTTGAATAACAAAAAAGAATTATGTAAGTTCCTTGAATGATTTGTGAACAATAAAAAAAAAATAAAAGAAAGAAATCATAAGAAGAATTGCTTTGTTCTGCAGACTTTTCTTGTTCTTTTTGTGAATAAGAAATTCTCCCATTCCTGGGAGTGTTCAAGGCCAGGCTGGATGGGGCTCTGAGCAACCTGGGATAGAGAAAGGTGTCCCTGGCAGGAGGGTTGGAACTTGATAATCTTTAAGGACCCTTCCAACCCAAATCATTCKATGATTCTAAGATTTTCATCTGGTTTATTCCTGCTGAATGTGCCAGTATTTAACAGATAACAATCTAGCAAATTCTTAACTGTCCCAGAAAAGAGGCTACTTCCATGMAATCCCAGATTCCTACCTGTGTGCTTCCCAAGCTCTGAGAGAGTGTCCTGGTACACACTCARCATCTGATCACAGTGAGCAATCACACTTTTGCGCATGTTGTCCCAGTGAGGAGCAAGTTCTCCCAGGTCTTTAAGTTCCTGATTCCTGTACCAAAAGGCAAAAAGAGAAGGCACTAATTAACTCATTAACCTATTAAAATTCATCCAAACTAATCTGTAACAAATTTGTTAGAAAACATCAGAAATATTTCCTAACTGAAATATCTTTTCAGAATGCTTGTGAAATCTGCTTTTCATCTGTTTTACAAGCACATAATAAAAAGTGTTAGTAAATAAGGTAGTAATTTTTTTATTTAAAACTCATCTGGTATAAATGCAGAAGCCTACAAACTGAAATACTCTTTCTTTCATGCAGGTAAGAAGGTTTCCAGGCTCCAGAGAGCTCAGTTCACAGCAAGTAACTTTTTGTGGATATTAAATACCATTGGAAATAATACAAAATTTGCTTTTTTCCCCAAAACTTTCAGAATATTTGTTTTGACACACTACTCTTTGGGTACTTTGATATATATAATAAACTATTTCCAGCAGTGTTTCTACTAAAGCCAGTTTAACCAGCACAGCAGCCCTCAGCACATTTCTTTAACATTCAAAACAAAACACACACACACACAAAAAAAACAAACAAAAAAACCCACACCACCACTTCCCTAAAACGTCACGTCCAGTTTTACAGTGTTCATCAGGTCAAAACAGCAGTGCTATGGCAACCAATCATGTCACTGGAAATCCAAAAGGAAATCCAAAAGGAAATCCTTAGTAAATTATCAGTTTTCCTGTACACTCTTGAAAGCTGACCTGAGCGAAAAAAAGATCATTTTAATTTTCTGCACAAACAAGTTTAGTTACAGTACCCTGGGCTTTCTGTTTGCTTTTCCCACTTGCAAAGTAAGTTTCTCCTACATCTAAGCACAAAGACACTTGGTGGGACCTGCTTTTTGGGAAAAGATCTTGAGTCTTCAAACATCTGGAACTCTGCAGTAAAGAAAATTTTTGTAACACAACCAYTTTTCCTCATTTTCCTCCAAGCATGAACAAGAGTATTTTACTGAATTCTGGGAAGTCTCCAGAAAGCTTTTATATACAGAAAAATTACTGAAGGAAAAGGAAAAAAAAGGGGGAGAATGGGTGGAAAGAGGAAGGAAAAGACCAATGAGCCTGCAGAGCAGGAACATTGAGTTCACTTATCACAGTAGATCTGACCATTACTCAAAAAACCTTAAAGTTATTTCTYAAACAGAACAGCCACATGCAGTGATGTTTCACCCATCATTATTGGCTTTGCATCAGTGTGAACAGTATCAGAATGAGTACGTGGGCATAACCTTCTCCTGGTGAACACGACAACCAAAACCTAACAGATTGCACTGGAAGCAGAATTAAAGCCTTTTGTTTAMAAATGTCCTTGAAAGTATCAAAATGGAAACAAAGATTACAACACATGAGTTTTTTGAGAGTTTGACATGATAATTTTTTTCCATTTATTTAATCCTGAAGGGGAACCAATTCAGCTTTCCTCCATCAATACTAACTGGCAATGTTGTAGCATAAGAATAACCTGCAGAGAAAAGATAAATCCACCATTTTCAATGAACACTTTTCTTGCCAGTTTTTAGCAGCTTAATGTGAGGTGTCCCCTGATTAAAATCTCAGGACTTTGTTCTCAGAAAAGTGTGTAAAATTTGCAAGGGTATACAATTTTTTTTTATTTGCAGTGATAACATTTTTGTCCTTAACATTTATGGTGTCAGATTTATTCATTTTAGCAACAATGTTTGGACCTGGATGGCTTCCAAAACTTTATTGCTCCTTCTATATGGGAATACAGTATTCTATCCAAGAATTATATCCCTTSCTCTATCTAAGCTTATCCCTGGAGCTGTTGGTCTCAAGATGAAGTTAAATAACATCAGGAATAGAAACCTTTTATCTCAGACTAAAGAATCCAAYACAGCCCAAAAGCTTGTTCAACTGGCTGACTATGGGTTTAATCCACTGACACCAAGAGCAATGGGAAGGGAAAACTCAAATCCCTCAATATTAACTTTAAGAGGTTTTCAAGAAATATCAAATCCTGCCCCCATTACTCTGACAAGGTTTGTATTTGTTTCATCTCAGAAACATGTAAAAATCACTGATGTAAAAATTCAGCCTCTAGTATGTCACAAAGAGGACACATCTTCTCTACAACGCTTTAAAAAGAAGCTTAAAAGTCGTTTAGCACAAAGTAGTGCTCTAGTTCTACAGCAACCTAGAGCATGTGTAGCAYGGAAACTTTAAAGATTACTTTTTCTGAATTGTTTTTCATTTTCAAATGGAGCAAAATCAAAACCATGAGACAACAGGATTATATGACAGSCACTTCCTCAGAAAATAGCCTTGTTGCACACTTTATACCTTTATTATTTTTTCTAATGGAATTATAGAAGACAGAGAACTTAAATAAGATTTATGTCTTGTGTTTTTTTACAATTTGTCACCGCTGTTGTTGACTCAATACAATTCTGAGTTATGGATGAAAAARGAATTGTCTTTTCTGTATCTAAACTCCATCAACAATGCTCCATAATACCAGGCTTTATTATTATTACATGAAAGCCCTCTTCCAAAAATAAACAGAGTGGAAAAAGCATAGTATTTTTCATATTTGAAAGTTTATAGCTCATGGTAATACTAACAATTTAAAAAAAATTAATCGATTTTAATAATACTCTAATACTTATATGAGAGCTTATTTACTGGAATAACTTCCAAAATACACTTCAACTAGCAACTGTATTAGATAATTGTGCTATAAAAAATAATACTTCTAATAGGTATTTGTTCTACAGAAGGAAAATCAGTTACTGATCCAACTTTTCAATGCAGCCATGGAATTTTGAATAGCTTGTCAAACATTGAGCTGGAAACTCAGAGCAAACTCAGTGTTGTTAAAGTAGAGCTATTTATCATCTTATTCCCTCACTCCACATCTTTTCTCAGTCTTTTCCAGATAATTGCTCTCATCACTGTGACAGATCGTGTCCTCAGCATCAACTGAAGCTCATCTTACAGAATCAAAACCCAACCTTGTCTAAGTTGTTTTTGTCTTTTTATTCAGGTCCTCAAACTGCCTCCTGGAGTCTTTTCTGTCRCTGCCCAATGAAAACTCCACCAAGGAACACGTCTTGGCCTCCACTGTCTCCTGCCCTGATTAATCAGCTGCACTCCTAGGTGGCCTAGGCCTAGGTGGCAAAGTCTTGCCCGGTTTGTGTTTAACCAGAATGTGGTTGGAAACAGTCTGTCCCATTCCTCATTCTCCACCTTAAATAATTTGCTAATTTTTAAGTCTGTTTTAGRTACATTCTGGTTTTCACATGCATTCTTTCTTTTGGTAGACTAATTCTGTTCCAAGAAGTCCATTATCAAGGAATGGTTGAGAACCCAAAGCTCAGATGAATATTCTGCCTCTGATTTACCAACTCATGCTTTTTTCATTTTTTTTTTTTGTTTTTAGCACCTTAGGTGTGTGATCATAGTAAACCACTAAAAGTCCCTGAAAGAGGCGCAATGAATTTCCTGCACGATTCATGTTGGTAATTTTTCCTTAAAGAGCTCCTGCTTTGTGCACCCTAATAATCATTGGAACAGGAAAAGACTTGCCCATCACTTTGGATACACAGCCTAGAAGTCTGAAAGAAACATATTCAATGCTAAACTACAAACCTCTGATTTCTGTAAGGAGCACTCTGAATGAGTAATATTCATCACACTGCAAAATTTTTTGAAGGAAGTCCCAATACTGAAATCAAGTTTCCAATGAGCTTGATTTTTTCTAAAACTGTGATAAACTGTCCAGACACCATAGAGGAATTCACAGTGAAAATCTGTGGTCAGGGAGAAWAAATCAAAATACAGCAAAACATCAKCAAGATGTTAAGATRAGCAAGAGGAGTGAGAAGGGGGCAATCCCTCAAACAATTTTCTTGGATCTGATTATCTCAGAAAAAGGAACAGCACAAGTAGCTAGCTGCTGCTCTATCATTAAGAACACAGCAYAAACCTTAACAAATTGAAAGATGAAGCTGAAAAGATCAGTGCCATTAAAAAAAAAGAGGAGAAAATTAAGAGAATATATGATAAAAGCACATAAACCAAAAATGGTGTATGAAGACAAGTTGTATTTTTTTACATATGCAGCTTCAAAAATCAAATGATGCAATTCCCACTGAAACAAACATGACAAATGCAAAACCTAGAAAATGAAGTGATTTTGGCCTTCACCAAGCAAAATTAGCTTCTGAAATCTACTTTTGCAAAACATCAGAAGCAAAGAGCTTAGCAGAATTCAAAACAAGATGAGACATTTCTGCAGATTATATTTGCAAAACTTCTATAATATTATAACAGCATCAAAATTCTGAATATTTATCAAACAGGCAMTTTGGAGTAAATATACACCATAAGCTTTGGGATATGACTCAATYACTCTTAAGTAAAGGAAGCTTAGAAGCTTCTTTTAAAGGAAAGAAGCACAGGAATTATTTTTCCTAACGAAGTTCACTTTAAAGTGTATATGTTTATGAATAACCATTTCTTTTTTTCTTTTTCTTATCTTTTTTTTTTTTCTTTTTCGGTAGAACAGAAGCAGATAAAATTACTCTCATTTTTCTCTGTTACAAGTTATGCTCCTGTGATATATAGGCAATAAACCCCAGACGAACAATATAACATTCCTTCCAGAAATAAAAGAATCATAGTCTTTTCACTATATTGTTTCCAAAACAGATAAACAATTATTAAGGAGGAGTTAATCCTTTCTGGGGAAGCAAAAAAGAAAGTAATAAAAGCATATTTTTCTTTCTTTACTAATAATTTTCATTCAGAATCTCTTGAAAACAGTTGCCATTTTTGTCTTCTTACAGAATTTCCCAAAATTATTCCAGGTTTTGGTAAGCCTGACCTGACAGGCAACTAAAAACCACAGTGCAGGGTGTGCCTACCTTTTGCATGCCCTGAACAGTAGTTTAGAAACAAACAAACAAACAGGAAAAGAAAGAAAAATAAAAGGAAAATCCCACCACAACCACATGAACAAACTACCCACCCCCAAAAAGCCAAGCCAACAGACATTTTAAAAAATATTTTAAAGCCTGTTTTCCTATACACATGAGGAAAATAGACTGGGGCTTGCAAAGCCCTCATAATACCTCATACTGTTCCTAAGAGCTGAAATGTTTAAGTTCCTTTTGAATTTCTATTCCACCACCATCCCCTTTTTATAATACAAAAGTGCAGACAATGTATAAGCTAAATTAAACTCAGTTCTCCCTTCCTGCCTTAAAACCCTTTCCCTTCCAATCCTGCCTTAAACTCCTTCCCTACTAAACTCTCTTGCTTCCTTGGATATTTTTTCACTTGGATTTATCTTTCAAAGACTCAACACCTTCAAACAGCATGATCATTTAAGGTTAATGCTATGATTTGCATTTAATAGCAGAGGATAATTCTCCTCTATTAGACAATTGCAGAGTCTTGAATTCACTAATTCTCAGAAATAGCATCTGTGGAATTTACTCTTCTATCCTAAATTATATTTTCGTTAATTAGCAACAGTGCCTAGAATTGTTTTAGGGATTTTTTGTTCAGTTGTTTTTAAATTTTTATTGCTTCACCAGAAAAAGTRGAATCAGCTTAAGACAGTATTGCTTCAGTTCCATGGTATGAACAAAAACRTTTTACTTTCACAGTTTATATTTAAAGCTTTATTACCTTCTTTGAGGTTGGAATCATAAACGTGGCAAGATTAATCACATTATTAGTTGAACTATTACTCAACCATTTAATCATTTTTTGTGGGTTCCTGTTCTCTTTTTTGCCCAATTTATTAATCAGAGTACATCACTCAAAATACAGAGTGAGGATCTCTATGACACAAGCAACATCACAAAACTGTACAAAGCTTTTTTAGTCACCCTAATGCCTTAAGTGACAGGAACTGACAAAATTACACCCAAATCAGTGCTATTAGAACCAAAGATAAGTACTGCTAAGTCCAAAACCTTTAGCTGCCAGTGTAAAAATTCAAATGATTTGATGTCACGCCATTTTAAYGCAGTACAACTTTAAACATCAAAAATCTGGCAAATTTTACTCAAGTCACCTATGAAAGCTCCTCTTAGACTTTCATAGAGGCCATCTTACCCAAAATTATTTGYGAATAGTGAAATCAAGAGAACAGAGAATTATGCAGTGTTTATTCATGACAATATTTTACCACTTAGTTTATAAATTAATGGGTTTTTAAATTGATCTTTTCTGAGGAGGGCAATTCTCTGAAAAGTATTTAGAAAATTCAAGCTACACTTACATTATGTTCATATACTTACATTCCTCTAGGCAGTGACTGATGGAGAATAAGAAGAGAAAGGTTTCACATCCTTTTGATGCACAATGGGGTAAATACTGCCTTTGTATGCATTTGAGCTACATTTTACTGACAGGTTTGGAACTTTTTAAGTGTTAAGAAAAGAAGGTGCTTGTGGGAAACAATGTGATGAAGGTCCTTAAATGGGTAGGTGTATTTACAGTGCCTCTCTGAATGTGATTGTTTCAAACAGCTCCAAAAGTCATGGTAAGTTTACCCCAAACCACTTTCATTTAATTCTATCACTTCTTACCAAGATGATGGTTTTGCAATGCAACTGCTCAAAACCAAGTCAAGTGACAACTGACATCCAAAGGCCCAGAAGAATCAAAGCCTACTCTCAGCACATGGCATTGCTGCCTGGAGCTCCATTTCTCCATAGAAGTTGTGTAATAAGAGAAAAAAGGAAAACATGTACTTTTCAGAGGGTGAAGTTTGTCACCATTCCATAATGTTGCATGAAAGAAATAATAAACCAGACTGCATAGATTTGCAGCCTTGTGATGATGGGACAAGACAGTCATTTCTGATGCAGGAGAAAGCTTGAATGTGTGCTTTGTACTCTGGAGAGAGGGTTTAAGTTCAGTAATTTAACCTAGAAATGTGCTTATGAGTTGGGATCACAAACATCATGGGCCGAATTCAGTTATAGATGGACTCTCCTTTCAGCCAAATCTCTTGATGTGCTGATCCAGTCACACCAGCTGGATCTACAACTGCGGGCCTCAATTAGACAGGTCAATCAAATTTCTGAACAATTACTATAAGCTAAGCCTTTTTTGTAATCATTGGGTTCAAAGAACTACTTGACTCATTTTACATTAAATAGGTAAAATATCTGGGCCAGATTTGTGTGAAGAAATRTGAAAAACAGGGGAAAGGACTCATTGGAACGCCTCGAAGAGGAAACAGAAATAATTTTGCAATAAAAACCAGCAAAGCAGACKGTATGACCCTTACTAGAACAATAAAAATTACCATATAGCTCTAATTAAAATTTCTTCCAGGGAGTTTTGAAGTCTTTAATGCATGCATTTCTTTAAAAATATTATTTCATGCTGAAACCCAAAGTTAAATACCCTTAGAGGTTACATATTTCAGAGCATCATGTCAGAAAATGAAAGAGAGTGGTTAACAATGAACACTGGAGTTTTATCAAGAGATAAACAATCTTAAGAGCTGTGAGAAAAGGGAATTTAAACTACATAATGAATGCTGAACAGGATTAACACTTACTTGCATATTTTTATAGGTAATTGCTTCAGACCTGACTATATTGAAGCTGCAACAAGAATAAAATGAAACTGGCTGAGTGTGAAAAGAAGGGGTCTCTGAGACAAGAATATTTATCCTTTTATATTAACTGGGGGGAAAAGGCACAGAGAAGACTACTTCAGAAGAGAATAGCCTGAAGATGGTTCAGTGTATGTTTTKTGTGAGTTTAACAAGTAATGTAGTAACATCCTCCCCATATTTTACTGGATTACAAGCGTAAGGACTCCACAGGAACACACATTTTTGTAATTATTCCAAAAAGCAAAGCCCAGACAAAGCTGAAGCTCCAGCCCACACTCTYATATGATTATAGATGACACAGATGCCCCTGTCCCCACCATCTGCTAGTATTCTACCACATGCTGYTGCTCCTTTTGGTTAGTCTTACCTCCTCCCTCAGACTGCATCAATCACTTTGTCTCTCACACCTACACTTTCAATGAGGCTTGAACAGTTTAACCACATTGGCAGGCAGGAAAATCAGAAGCACTTGTCTCACTCTTTGAGCAACTTTTACTTCTGTTTCTTTCTCAAAGCTTTTCTTTATTTTGGTAAGGAGGAAACACCACCATGGTGATTTTTTACTACGAGTTTATCCAGGGAGGTGAATTCTATAATATGTAATAACAACAAGGGCTATTACTTGCATTATACCTTTGGAAAGAATAATGTAGTAGTAGTAAAAGTGGTTAAAGTAATCCTCTAACATTTAAAAGGCATTTACCCRTGGGGCAAATGAAAATATGAGAAGTGCATGAACTGTTCAAGTCAGCATAATCTATTTTTATTGCTTACTAAAAAAAACCACCCTTGCACATAAGTATTCTCAAACAAGATGAGGCCATAAATGCCTAAACACAGTACTAAATGAATAAAATAAAGTATCATAACAATTCATAGGATTTTTATAACCCATCATCGCCATGCGTAAGTATGTATCAGTCCACTGACTTTATTAAAATCAAGATTTCAGTCTCCCACATGCTGYTCTATTGGCATATAAAGATCACACAGAAGCAACAGATGGGGTGAATAAAAACAAAAAGAAGCTCCTTAGTGCAGGACAAGCAACCCTCTGTAAACCACAACAGGAAGGAGTTGCCTGAAGGTGCACAGGATGGCTTTGGGATGCAGCACCAGGTCACAGTGTTGCTCTTACACATGGCACCAGATGCCCATCTATGTGTGAAGCAACTTTCACGAGGAAAAAGGCAATGACTGCATCATGCATTATAACTGGAAAAAGAAGACATTGTCTTCAGGGTAGCCCTGGACTACTAAAAATAATGAGGTTTCCCCACAATTTTATCAGCACGGTTTACAAGGATTCAAGGATAAGCTGCCATTTTAATCACTGCAGCATGAATTTAAATGTAAAATTTTGGGACACCCATGTTCCCCTATCCTCCTTTTTTCCCCAGGTCATACACATTGTAATGTTTCTCAAACACCTCGCCTGGTTACAAGGCCAAACATGAGCAAAGGTTTCAAATAAACATTCCTTTTGTATCCTTTTCTTATGCCAACTAATTTAGATTAGCTAGAGGAATGTAATTTTTATCCTCATTACTCCTTTATTCACKACAAACTTGTCATTTTCTATTGCTTGCACAATGTTCCTCTGTCATTAGCACCACCCAGACACAGCGCCAAACACACCACAGTGTTGTTCACCCCCTTGTCATTTGCTGAYTCTTTATAAAATGTTAGCTTTCCAGAATATTTATATTGTTAAACAAATGTTGACGCTCACTGATTTAAAGTCATGACCRCACTTCAGCACAGTTCATTGCTCAGAACTTATGAGGTCACTGGAGTCCTAAAAATTCTGAGCAATCAATTCTGTTATTCAGAATTGATTCAATTTACAGCTGTAAATTCTTAGCAGCAAGAAAGTGCCCATTTCAGAGTATTTTTTAGCTCATCATTTGCATGATTCCAAGTCAGAAAAATAAAATTTAGTACTTACTATTGTTGCTGCTTCGTCCTTACCTTCTCATATCCTCCTTTATGTGCAGATTTATTAGTTCTTTAGGAACATGGAAAGAGAGGGTGGTCTCAGCCATCTGTTCCCGGATCCKCATCCACTTGTTGTCAGAAGTAGGGAATCTGTATAATTTACAGACTGGATTTCTTAACACTGCAAAGAGGAAAAATTATATCATTGCTTTACTCTGGTTATGCGACCCTGAATATTTATGGTAACAATTTCATGCAAAAAATAATACATTATTTCCACCTTGCTAACAAAATTAATTTTAGCACCATTAAAATTCTATTAAAAACATGTTATTTTTATTTCATTTTTTATGCCAGTATGCGGACGATGAAGTGTTTCTAGTCCAGTCAATAAATCACATTTTACCAGCATAGTAGGTACCTGTGAATTTAGCATTTCAAAGTAGTGAGAATGTAAATTAGACTTTGTTTTCTTACATTTAAGCTCAAGTCAGGAAAAACAGAATGCACAAATGAACAATGAACTCAATACAGTCCCAACCATTGTTACCACGTACTAGAAACACTCACAAATCCAATAAATTGCACAGGACTGAGTTCAGCTGCATCTTCCCTGTGATGTGCACACACAAAAGTCTTTTACACAAACAGGTGTGATTCTGTACTAAAGAAAACTTGACCATTGACCATTTGAGAATTACCCGGATCATTGATGTGGTCAAGACACTGCCACTAAATAGAAAGAAATATAATAGCCCTGCCAGTCTGTTACACACACTGTTTTCAGAGCACTATTGTGACATGACATAAAAAAATCACAATTCTGGGTGTTTTGGAAGATGCTTAAAACCCAACATATTTTTTATTTTACACTTTTCACACATTGGCTACACTTCCATTTAGATCTTACAATGACGGTCTTTAATAAGAGGGGCAGATTCCTACTCTCTCCTTTCTATTTCTTCTATTTTGTTTTTTTTTTTTTTTTTAACCCTTCTCTTATTTTCCAGAAAGAACAAACAAGGAAGAGAGCTGAGGAAGAAAAAGTTCTGTTTGACTACTTTGATAAGCTTACTTGGACACAAATGACTGCCATTTAACACACACATGTGCCTCTTCCTAACTCGGAATGACTTTGGACAGCCATCCAAATCCTCCACTGGTACCTTTCTGTCAACCTGCTGGAAAAAGCTGCCTTCCAGCAGGCTCCCATTGATCTGCCACTGAGTGGTCTATAACTCAAAGGAATGCATTCCCCATGTGTGCTGGGGGGAAACTGCTGCTGTCAAAGTGACATCTACTCATAGACATTTCAATTCACAGCTCCCTGACACCATTACTGCTTAAGGAGGTTGATTTATAGAGAACAAAACATAAAAGATATACAAACTGTCTTGTCCACCTAAGCAATAAGGTTTTTTAACAGAAATTCTTTAGGATAGGCCCAAAATAAGACTGGAGATTTAAAGACATCAATAATAAACCCCGTAGTAATTTGAGTTGGCAACTCAGAGAAAGGAATTTTGTAAACAGCAGTGTTTAAGTAGTTGTATTGCTCTGTATTCCCATCACTCTACTGAGATGTCTTTYATCATTAGTCTTCAGTCTTCAAAAACTGGAAGCCTTTTTAGAGTCATTTTGCCTTTAGTTATTAGTGATTTCACTTTCTACRACTAAATTCTGACAGTGTTATGAAATAAGCCAAAGAGATGCTTGATAGCTCTGACATACGGGTGACAGCAATTTTTCTTTATTTCTAACATGTGAAATATCTTAATATTCAAGCATTTTTGCACACATTTTTAGAGCCTGAGGATCCTCACCACACAGATTTAACTACAGAAAAAAGCATCTCCAAGTCCAGGCCTCTGATCAACTTTCACCCAATGTCTGAGCTTTATTAAATCACTTGATTAAAATATGGTGCAGTGCATATTTCCTTTTTCCCTTCTCCTTCGTTGCAATTCTTCTAATCAATGAAATCAGTGTTGTCAGTAATATTGACAGTGTGTATCAATTCACAAAGCTGATATATGGCACCAATCATCCCCCATTAACAAGACAAGAAATGTAAATTTCCAAATATCAGGGAGAGCTCAAGAAACAAAGGCCTGCTTTCAGGTCTGGTCTTAAAAGGAAAACTGCCAAACCAGATCATAATTCTGGACTGGGATTGTTTTTTTCTGTAGTGCCACCTGCTCAGTAGGAAACAGACTGGTACATATTGCCAGGTGATTTCATATGSTGATGCCCCAGAACAAAAGATTCTCTTCTTTATTTTACCTTTTGATATCTACTTCCTAAGGAGTTTATCAAAGGATGTTTTTCCAAAAAAAAAGCCCTTAAATTTACACTCAGAATCTATTACACTGAAAAATTTACATTAATCAGAGAGAACCTAATGCACAGATGTAACTGCACAACCTCTTTCCTCCCATCTTCCAGTTTTCACCATCATCACAGACAAAAAATGAAACAAAACAGAAAACCCAACAGGACTGCAGCATTACAGCAAAGCAGACTAAGCAAAATTCTGAAAATAGGGATCCAAAGTCATGACTTTTATCATTGATAGAAATATGAAACTCCTCTCCAGGTACTAGCTGAATTTTCAGGTCTTTGATTCAGGTCTGGATATTCAGATGGGGATAATCTCAAGTGTGCTATAAGTTTTTAAAAATGGTCAAAACATCTCCCCAGAAAATTTCATTTACAGACTCAGAAAAAAAGCCTGGAATTTTTCACAAGTAATGCAAATAATTCCAGTATGCAGTATTGTTAAATCTTAAGATTGTCAATAAAACCTGCACAGTGTTTGATATTTTTCTTATAAACAGAACTACTGAAGTCACCTGATTCCATAAAAATGTCAGAAGCATCTTCCTTTCCAATTACAATAATAGCTTTCTAACTACAAAAAGTTTTCTGGAACAGAATTCTAAAAGGCATGTAAAATCACCCAAACAGTAAGAATGGCAAGGCTAGATTTGCCTTTAATAAAAAATAGAAGTTTCATAAAAAAAATCCTTCCTGTATTCAGACAATGATCATGGGAGGCATTGAAAAAAATAAAATCCACATGAACTGCAGTGYTTAAAAAAGAGAAAAATCTGTTTTAGAAGCTTTTCTCTATAGCACCAAGCCTAAGAGCCAATGCTATCTATTTACCCATCCATATTTTTGGACATTCTCCTTTTTAAATTTGAAGACCTCTGWGCCTTTTATTCCATGCAATATCCTTCCCATTGCTTCCTCTGTAAGTAGAATAAAAAAAAATAATAAGGGATTGAATACTCYGGTTTTATTTTCATTCCCTATTGAACATACATCAAAGCATGTGTCTGTCATATATTAATTTACTAAAAGTGTTTCTATCTTTCTTTGTAGCATASGTACATGATGTGTATTACCTCAGGAATAATAATTACAGCTTTCTTAATTTTTGCTTAATTTCATTAGCTTTTATTCTCTTTTTTATTGCAGAATGCAATTTGTTTACATGCAAACAACTGGCAAACTCCCCAGCTTTATAAATAAATAACTGAATTTTGAGACGTAAATCCAATCTCTTGGGGTATAAATGGAATAGTGATAAGGCTCTGAAATACACTGCTCATTCCCACTCACTCAATAAGCATCTCATAACTCACTGGAGGGCAGTGAGCTCCCTACCCTAAGATTTAAATTTCAGAAGAACGCCAGTTCGCTCCTGTGCCCACGGGCTCAAGGATTCACAGAGGGGTATTTCTTCCAGTTTCATCATTTTGAAGGCCTGATAAACAACAAGAAACAGAAAGAACCAGAAAGCTTTACAGCAGAATCCACATGTACTGAATGTGTATTCACATAGAATGCACACTGTTCTGGGGGAAGCTCTGTGTGAATACAGCTCAGGCAGTGCTGATGTGCACTCAAAAACCCCTATGAGAAATCCTCTCTGTCTCCAGGCAACACAGAGAGCCTTAATCCACAGGAGRCCCAGCCATGCTGGGGATGGAGTCTGATGGGCTGGGGAAAGAGGCTGGTAGTATAAAAGCAGAGCTAAAAGTTTCTAAAGGAAAGAAATTGGGAATTAAAAATAAAAGGATGGGACTGACAAAACCTGGAACCAGCGCCTGGTGTCAGCAGGAAAGTGGAGGCAATGCTGAGTGAGAAGAGAAAATCACAAGTACAGGAAACAGACTGGAGAGTAAATATTTATCAGAACAAACTTCCTTTGATTGCAAACTCTTTCCAATATCCTGCATGCTGTCATTTCTTGAATAAGCACCTGCAGTTCTGCTCTTTCCCCTCAATTCTTTAAAAATAACCACAAAAAAACACCAAAAAAAGCACACAGTATGTTTGACTTTATAAAACCTAACGATGTTGGGACTGGTTTGGTTTTATACTGTGCTTGTATATGAGAATAATAAATTAAATAAAATAAAAATGCTGTCTAGATACACTAGAGAAGCACATACAAACGTTCTTGACAAAGTGATCAAACGTCAATGCTCATAAAACCAATGTCTACCTTGGAAGTTCCAACAAAATACATTCCAGAATCTATTGTATTTTCCCATACAAAAGCATTCAAAATAAAACCCCAATCAAACCCATAAAATGGAGGCAGCAAATTAAAAAAAAAATCCATTGTGGATCAGTAATATTCTGTGAACAGAAATGTTATCTTTTAAGACCCATTAATGTGGATGACAAGTAGAATCAGAATAAAAAACCAACTGCACTGAGTGAGACCGAATCCTTTAACTGGCTCTGCATTTTGTCTCCAAGAAAAGCCATAAATAGATACCTAGAGATGCAAGATACCCTCCCTGCCTCCAGCTATTTCCAGTTCAGGAATTTCTGGAGCCAGATGTAGTTCCTCTACATTCAGTAATCCTCAACTAAGATTTTCCTCAGTGTGAACTGACGAAAAGAAATGGTAGCTCCGGAGAAGAAATTTTTCCCTGTTTCTGATCTGCTCTCAACAGCTCAGAGAAAAAAATTACAGCATTCATGCATACATGGARGAACTTAATTTTTGGAGGTTTTTAGTGCTTCTTTCAGACTGCAAAGCTGGTCTAATAAGTCTGTCCTGTCAGAGAAGTCAGCTGAAAAAGTTTCAGTAAAGGTTTTWAAAGGCTGTAAAACTTCAGTAACATTTCTCCTCAACTGTGTGCAGCAAACACCGAATTCCTGACAGCGCTGTGGTTTCAGATGACCCATATAACTTATTGGTGACATTGTTACTGCAGAGTAATGGAGATTCATAAACTTGGGCTAATAAAAGTTTTATGGTGCAGCATATCAGCGTGCAATATTTCTCAGTATAATGAAAGAGAAATAGATCTTGTTTAACRCCATGCACTCAAGCCCAGAGTTGACCTAGAATTGAGAATGTCTTGCCAACATCTCCCTTCACTCTAGGACAGATAGCTTCCAGATCAAATTGGAACTGCCACTTGATCAGCCAGGAGAGAGATTGATTCTCCATGGTATTCACTTACAARTAAWGCACAATTATTTAACAGAATGGCAWGCGATGACATGACAAAMTTATGAGGTTAATTCCATGCCCACAGAAGTCACTGACAGTCCTGAAAACCATTGAACAGTAAAGGTGTAGGAGATGGAGATTTCAGCACCRCTTCACAAAGCATAATTGACACACATTTCCTCACATTTCTCAATAAAATGATACTGTCAAATATKTATAAAACACTAAAATATTGAACTTAAACATCTGGGCAGCATTTGAAGAGACTTTGATGAGCTCTGCTGCAAATCTGTGTGATTCCCTCAGGACCTGACAGAGCATTGCAAGAGCCATCTCTTACCCATGCTGGAATTCTTACCTGCATTTAAGGAAGGCAGGTTGTCTTTCCCACTTATGCCTTCAGTGGCTGTACACTCAAGAACCAATGCACACTGCAAAAGAAATGCAACCACAAATGTGACACATGAGAGGTCTGCAATCCATGGCAGTTTATAAAAGGTAGGCTGAAAACTGTCACTGATAACAATATAAACTTCCCAAGCCTTAATAATAGTTTACATTTTTGTCTTTACATTTCTGTTTCAAGGTACTGTAACACAATCAGAATTATAGCAAAGAAAATGACAAAATATGATCAGCTATTCCACAATAAAAAAGAAATGTTTCCTACCAGTTCAGTGGCAAAAGTGTTGAGAGATATTAATAGTTTAGCTTTGAAAGTAAGTTTTATTGTATTTATAAGATGGCACTTTAGTTTAAAACAATTTTTGACAAGTTTTGTGCTTTCAAAGAGATTTCTTTAGGCAAAGCAGTTTTCATATGCAGAGTGTGAGAAAACACTTCATTAATTTTTAAACAAGGGAAAAGTAGGAAGCACAAAAAAATCTTTAAAATGTGCTTGCAGTTTGTGATTGAAGTAGTTTGTTATACAAGTGAACTGGAATATTTTTTTTATAAGATTAGTGCATGAAAGTATAAAATGTTTATGGAAAAATCAATCAGTGYATACCGATGTTAAATGCAGTATGAAGTATATTTTTGATGTTCCTCCTACCCCCAGCCAGAAAATATTGACMGAGTTTCTAAAGGTGATGAGGAACTGTGTTCCCAGGGTTTCCCCAATTTCTAGAAGTTCAGTTGGGGAAATTAATGCAGAAAGCCAGACATGATGTACTCTCTATTAGCTGATATCTGAAAATGAATTTAACCAYCACCTTCTTCTTCCATGAGAAATTCCCTGCATGTAGCCTATCTAAAAGTGAGCAAACCCAATACAAAAKTTATTTCTTTGAAGTAATTCAATCACTCTACATTTTAACAATTGCATCCTCACTATCGACATGTAAACCAAGACTGTGCTGCAACTAATTAGTACAAACTAAGGACTCCTCTACAGACCACAGAAAATACATCTGTCATGAGGCTGATCTTTCTTTACAAGTATTAGAAGCCCTAGAAAGATGCTGTTAAAACCTTCTGTCTCCCCCAGGCCAGACACAGCTCATTAATTACATCTCAAATAATCGCACGAATTCTCATTCCACATTTTGAAATGCAAGAAAAGCTAAATGAAAGAGAAGTCTGAAAAAAACCAGCTCATGTTGCATAAAACTGCAAGTTCTACAGTTCAAAATCAGAAAGATTTCACAGCATTTGCTGGTTTTTTTGGAACTGGTCCCACCATCTACTGTTTTAAAAGGGCAGTGAAGTCCTTTGAGATAAGTGGTGAAAAAAAAAGAGTGTAAGATCTGCTCTCAGAATTGGAYCCAAAAGCAGACTGGTTTGGCTGAGCTGAAAAGATATTGAAAACAATGTACTTTTCTCAAATAATACACTCACTTTACTTCCAAACAAAAAATGCTGCATTCCCTGTAGCAATATTTTTTTCCCCCCATGGAGAACAGGATACACTATAGTGTTAAGCAGTAAAAGTATTAGGGCTGCAAAATCTGGTGCTCCCATGAAATGCTGCTGAACCTGTCCCTCTGCAAGGRAATTCACCTCCTCTTTGGCTTGCCTGTCTGCCATTCTTCCCAAATTTTCAGTGTTGTGGGCACAGATTGCACATAAAAATCAACATGAACAGGAATTGAAGAGCAGAAAGCAGAGCAGCAATTCAAGGGAAAAAGAAGCCATTTTTATGGTGTCTCTCTGGATGGTCTTTTTGATCAGGAGTGATCAAATGCATTCAGTTGAGATAAAAACAAACTTTTCTTAAGGAAAAGGACTAGGAACCTCAGGATAGGATATTAGTCTGTACATTTTAATGAGTTCTATTTTTTAATCTAGGGAGATAAGTGTACATAGTATTTACTACAGAAATTTTATTAAGTCCTTAACCCAATTTGAAGTTAGCATTTTAGACATCTGGTACAACTGATCATTCTAATTAACTTTGTGCAATAAATTGAATTTCTACCTTTTGATCCTGGGTGTCTGCTGTGATGTGGTCTGTTTCCCCCTCCTCTAGCTCTCCCATCTTCACAAGATTGACTTCAATGGTACCAACTGTCTTTCCACCATCAGAAGTCCTGGAAAAAAAACAACCCATAACACTGGGTCATTTGCAGCATCAAATTCTTTCAATTAAAATATTATCAGTAAATATTTAGTCCTCTCTCCATTCTATACAGCTGCAATCACCTGTACTGGTTTGGTTATTGACAATCAGAAACCAAATGTTAATGTGGAGGAACTTTAGGGCAATGAAAATTTTCATCACAAAACTGAGGATGGGTAATGGTATAAATGATGGATGAATCCATGAACACTGCCAAGTTTTCATTCTAGACATTATCCTGTCTGTGGACCATCAGATAAAGTTCTGTAACATTGCACCAATAWTCCACTTAGGACCTGCAATCCCACTGCAGAGCACAGAGAAAGGACACAGTACAGCAATAAAACCCCTGCAAAACCAAAACAACAAAACTAATCTGAATTTCACTTTTCACTAATCTGAATATCACTTTTCCTTTTGCAATCTMTCCACAGCTTAATTATTCAGAATTCATCCCATTTCTTGAGCTTTGCAGGAATGGTAGTGCAGTCTCAGGTGAAGTCTTTTATTATCATTTCCACAGATAGATTGCTTCCAATTCATCAAAAACAAACAGCAATTCAGATTTACATCACCAAGAAAACAGTATCATCGCTACCTTTTGTAAGAGACAAGGTTTTAAACTCCAGAAAGATACTGAGTGCTTTCTCAGCTTTCCCTGGTGGAAAGCACCAAGGTTAATGGCACAGTTTATCTCCCCTGGYTTATTCTGAACATCTGGATTTTTTGAAAGGAAGGAAAGAAGAGTAACAGAGCATTTCATAATAATGACAAAAGGGTGACAACAGGCACAAGGCAAAAATAGGAAATAGGAAATGATGAGAATAAATTCAGCAGAATTGAAAAAAAAAAATGCAAGGAAGGAGAATCAAAACAAATGTGTTTGAGGCAATATTGTGTATAATCTGAGAAATTAAAATGAAGAGTGATGAATCAGGAAAAAAGTATTCATAGAAAAGTTTAGTGTCGTAACATCATAAAATCAMAGAATTATAGAATAAAATGAGTTGGAAGGGACCCATTAGAATCATCAAGTTCAACTCCTACAGTAAAATCTCAAAAAACARTTAACCCCAAGCTTCAAATTTCAAATAATTATTTTAGTTGCAAACCATTGGGCTTTAATATTCACTCAGTAGAATACACTCATCTTGCCCCTATACAAATCTGTTATTCTATAAAGCCTTGAAAAATAAACATAATTCTTCCTAATTTACACATGTAAAACTTCATTTGTTCAAAGCCAAATTAATTATTGACAATAAAATAAAGGAACAATTAAAAATGGACCAGTTCCAGATATTTTTTGCAATTGAAGCAGCTATATTAATTAACAAAGTATACAGAAGAAAACTATCTGGAAGAGCTCAGTGTCCAAATGGTGCTTATGAGCAGAAATACATAATAATTTTGAAATGCATCAGAACAACTTCAGTGTCTTCTCAGTGAAGAACATTCCCTGAGTTGCTACAGCCTCATAGTTTGACTTTTCTCCTTCTGGTGTCAAACCATCATCCAAACTAGGCTATGTCAACAAATGGACTACAGCATTCCCAAGGAGAAAGGGAATTTATCAGATGTCAGCAAATCATACAGACCTTTAAAAAACTGAAAATTTTTCAACAGTTTAAGGTGTTCTGATCAAGGYATCGAGTGAATGAACTGATACAAGCCAACAAGGCCTAATGACCCAGTAAAATAAAATCGAAAATGAAATGGGAGTTAGACCATCTCACTCTTTGTCTCTTGCTCTTTAGAATGTTAAATATTGCCCCTTGCTGCTGTTATTAAAAATTTGGCCTCAGTATGGCTGTGAGCACTGCATTGTTTGCCTGCATAAGGAGCAATATGCATTCTGTGCAAGTTTAAAAAGAMTGATTGATCTAATTTCACTTTTGTGTCTTATTTTTCTATTCTTTTCCTCTCAAATACACTCCTGTTCTGGTCTAATACATATGTAATATTACAATCTGGACCATGCATTCCCTGCAAGAGAAGGAAATAAACTAAGAAGAATTCATCAGATGTCAGAATAAACTAAGCAGTGTGACTTGCTGCAGTTTAGTTGTGTGTGTCTTCCTCCAGTTCTTATCTCCCCTCACAGAAATATGAAAACACAATTTAACCAAAACAAGCCAAYGACAACAAAACCAACAAATCCCTAAACCAAAGTTTCTTTTGAATGCTACAGGCAYACAAATCAACAAAGAGCTCTGTATATGCCCATGGAGAAATTGCTGTGAGCTGTGTCAGACTCTGTGATTTTAAAACACTGGCGGTGCATGACACGTGATGCAATTCAGATTTTCCAGCAATATCATGGATTAACATTTCACTTGAAAGTGAGAAAAAGAAATGCTGCAATGGGTGAGTGATCATAAAAACTTGTATTATTTTACTTTGCACTGAGTATTGTGCACACACACACATATGTACACTCTTCACGCCATTTACCTGCACAGATATGAAGAGAATCTCACACATACACAGTGTTCAACAGAGCAATGGGGAGAATTTGGTTTTAGGATACTGCATAATGCATTAGGATGGAATCAGCTTATTTGCTGTAGTTTCATAAAGCTGAGAGGGGCACTCTGTGCCCACACAGTGCAGTGAATGTGGTCTCTCAAATTGCTCCCAGTCAGCGAGCAATATCCCCACAGAACAAAGACTGCACCTTGCCAATCTACGTAGGGCGAGTTGGGATGGGGGATGCTGYAACAAAAATAAAAGAAGTGTCAATGTAAGAAAGCCACACATGGCACAAAATCCAGCTGGCTTAAGGAGCTGGAAAATTGCTGATGCTTTTTTTAGCAGCCTGGGACRAGGAGCAGCAATCATCTGATACCTGTTGGCAGAGAACCTGCATTTGAAATAGATTTCTCAACCATCCCAAGGCATTAAGGTTCCCCAGGTCAGGAATAGTTTCCTCAAATGTGAGGGAAGGAGACAGCCAGTAACACCATGAGCAGCAGGAACTTGTGCCCACCTTATTACTTTCTCACAGAAAAGGTTGACCAAGGCATCCAGAGAGGAAGGAGGCAACAAGCTCATGGTGCAAAAGAAACTGAGCTGGAGGGACTGAGAACAGCAGTCAGTTGCCTCCAATGCTGATCTCATCAAATCTCATTACCACGTGTTGAATACGCAAATTTAGGATTGTAAATTGGCTCCCATGGCCATACATCTTTCTTCCACAAAAAAAAAAAAAGAAAAATATTCAAAAACACAATGGAAAAAGAAAGCAGACTGTATCTTTGCATGGCTGTGTTAATCATAAAACACAAAGTGACTGCCTGAAAAGCAAACTGCATGACTGAGTCGAGCAGGCAGCCCCTTTCTCCACTGCATAATACACAATAAATGCGATTAGCACAGACTAACTTACAAATTGCCATAAAATTAATTTATCCACTGGTATAATATATGTTGAAATACCCAAGCATGAAAGTATTTTACTCACACAAAAAATGTTTGTTCTGTAAATTCACAGTGAAGCCTATTACAATCGATAYGGCTTTTAAACAAGTCCACTGTAAATAACATTCTGTCACATTCTAAGGTAAATAAACAAAGTTTTGCAATGCTCATTTCCTTCTGTTTTTAATATTTTAATGTACAGTTGATTAAGCTTCGTGTCAAAACAAGTTTCACCTCAACTGTATTGGACTCACCAACTTCCTGGGGTGGATGACACAACATGAAGCAGAAAAGAAACAATTTCAGGATGAAGRCCAAGTAGAACTAGTTGTAGACAGACTTCTATTGAATTTTAACAGGGAAAAGCAGCTAAATACACAGTATTTTATAGTCATCATTTGCTAAGGAAGTTATGCTAAGTACATAAATGACTGCAGAAATTAACTGTGCTGCTTTCCAGTTTTCTCTAGTTAGTTAAACTTTGTGAATATTACTGCTCCAAAGTGCAGTTTCATGTTTTCTGGCCCAGTGAACTACAAGCTGTTTGGAGGGAGGGAAATKAAGAGGACTTTCTTTCCAAAATTAGATAGGTTTATCTCCTTTATATAAAGGAAGTAAGTTTAGTGCTGCCCAAGATTAATGAGAATAAGACAACTAAAATGAGATAGCTACACAAACAGATGTTGTCCAACAGCTCATGCACCAACACATGCTGGAAGAAAGTCTATAAAGTGCATGATTGACAGATATGCACAGGAACAATCTCCCAGAAAAATCTGTATAATTCATACACCCCATCCCAGTTCCTGTTTGTTTCTCCCCATTGCTCACAGGGACCAAAGGATCTGACAGGTACCGATACCACCCCAGGTTCACACTGAATTTCCCCACTTAGACTTTTGTACAATCTCTGAAGAGGAGCATGTCACAGAGATGTACCTTATTTTCGCAGAAAACACAAGAGAGCACTATTATSTTTCTCTTTTGCTGCTTCTTACATGTAACTAAGTGGAATTCTTATCAAAATGGCCCAAGCTAAAGGGGACCTTCCTRGAAAAAGGCAAACTACGACCACAGGGGAAGGGACTAATGCAAGTGCTAATTGCTAGCTCTTTACTAAAAGCCATAGACCTCATCCAAGCAAAAAAAAAAACAAAAAAAAACCCAAATATCATGCTGTTCTAAACAGAATGGAATGGCAAAAAGATCCTCTAAACTGAACTTAAAGATTAAATCAACTAAAAACATCCAGTTTAATTACTAAACTAGCAGTCAGTATACTTAACTCTCATTCACAAAGAAAACGCATGCATGCTTTTTTTTATTGGATACGCTATATCATATAGTCAATATTAAGAAATATTCTCCTACTGAAAAAASCTTTTGTTTTATTTAATAGAATGTATTGTCCCATTCATCATCACAACCCTATGACAAAGCTGGAAGCCAGTGACATTTCATCAGCACAGAATGAAACATTGAAGTCTACAGAAAGCGTCTCTGTTTTTATAAATTCCATACTGGAAGCTGCAGTCCCAAATCTCTAGTAACTAAATTCCTCTGCCAACATCAGTTGTGCACACTGAAGCAATTCTACGAATTGRCATTTTCGTGTTTTGATGATTATACATGCACAGATCTATCAGAAACACTCAGCCACCAGCTTAGGACACTTTAGTGGAGAGGAAAAAACAACCAAAATTAAAATTTCTTTAATTTTAGAATTAAACCTTTTAGCAGAGGTTTGGTAAATTTTGTCCTAATCATTATTAGGGCACAATGGTGGGAAAAGGGAAAAGTAGAGCACAGTGTGTCAACAATCAAAAATTGTAAACACATGCCAGCTCTCCACAAAACAACAGAAAAATACAAGAACWTTCCTTAAAAAGCACTTTTATATTGTTACATTGTACCACAGAAAGACAATGGCAAGACATAATAACTAAAAAAAACCAGGAAAACAAAAATARAACTCAGTTAAAAACTAACCAGTTCCTATAATTACGCCAATATTTACAGGGCACACCACAGATCTATTTCTGGGTCCTTAAATYTCTGCTTCAAATCTAACAAAGGAGTACCTCAATCACAGGCACTCCCAGATAAACTCCCATCCAAAGCATATCAACAAGAATTAAATAGAATTTCATGCTCTGACAAGTCCCTTGATACATCCTCCATCCTCCTGGGAGGTACTAATACCTCAGAGGATGATTAGAGGAATGCAAGCTTAAATTAGTAGACTTCTCTGGTTAAATTGACACTGAAGAAATGTGATTAATTTTTACTGATTTTCTGCTGATGAATCATCATAATCAGAAAACATTCATGCATTTGAAAGGTTAGGATTTTTTTTCTTAAAAAGAAAACAAACCAAAACAACTAACTAAAGTCTACCATTTAATAGATCTGCAAATTAATTTGAATTGGTATATTTGTCTTCTAGTGTTGGCTGAAAGAAGAGGACAACCAAGACTAAAAATATTAATTAAAAGCAAATTTTTCATCTATTTATTATGAGTTTTCCATCTTAACTTTYTGATTACATATTAGATGAGTGAGATGCAAAAACACTTACTCAGAAACTGTCCTGAAACTTTAAATTCTGTCAGTTATTGTGGCACCTGTTGGAGGTAATCTTTCAGATCAAATTGTTGATATGTCAGTCAGGGAAGCAAAGTTTATCCCAAAGCACTAGAGATAACTTGAATTCCTGTAAGAATAGTCTCATACAGTCACTAAGTTGGCATTCATTTATCCTGCAATTGATTCCCACAGGGAGCAGGCAGTTCACATTTTATCTCATCGGGTGTTTTTGTTAGACAAAATTATCTGCTTGTTAGGTATAGCRTTTTCTGTGTTTGGGAGAAATTAAAATCAAAGTATTTTGTAAACTTTGCCTTGTAAACTACACACTCACATGCAACTATTCTTCTCGAAACAGGAAGGCAGGTGCCAAATACTTCTAGAAATTTCCATTTCAAGATTCAGATTCCTTGAAAAAGTGACAGTACCACAACATCTCTGAGTGGGTCATAATTTACTCCTTAAACCAAATTAAGACATTGTCCTGTGCTCAGAATAACAAATGTAACACAGCTTTTCTACAGCACTTATGTACAATATCCCAGGCACAACACACACCAGCATCTCAGTTCTCTCAATCACAGCTTCTTTCCTCCCAAAATGTTGTCTTTGTAGACACATGGTGGGTTTGAGGAGTTGCTCTGAGAAGCTTCTGCCCCTTCCCAGTAATCCCAAATAAGCCTCTGACACACTTGCAAAAATCAGCTCAAAAAAATCCCTGCACTATGTAAAGAATTTCAAAATTTATTCTGAAAATCACTACCTAAACGGTTTTTCCTAACCTTCAAAAGGTTTTGATTTGTATCATGATTCATCTTAAGACAGTATCAGGGGTGAAAATTGGCTTTTCTTCCCTCAGTGCATAGCTTTAAGAAGTRTCTGTTCATCTGTCATTTCTTGAAACCACACAAAACAAAACTGGGAATCTTRTGCTCCTTTCTAAAGCAAACTTTGAAAGAATATTCCCTATGGCAAGTTCCCTGCAATGCTTCCATAGGTTTTCATACTATAAAATTACCTTTTTTAACCTGGCACCTGGGAAGCTCCAGGTTATGGGTTTACTATGTAATTTTGGTATTTAATTGTGGATTTGTGCATGGCAGAATTTGAAGCACTTCAGCTTGGTATCTAACATACCTGATGTAACATGGAGTTTAAAACAGTCRAGCAGCAATCATGGAAGGTTATATTGGAAAAGATCTTCAAGAGCATCCAACCACTAATCCAGCACTGCCAAATCCATCACTAAACCATGTTCCTCAGAGCCACACCTACAATTCTCYTAAATACCTCCAGGGATGGTGACTCCCCTRCTTCCCASRGCARCCTGTTCCARTGCTTGTTAACCCTTCATGTGAAGARTTTATTCCTAATATCTAATCTAAACCTCCCGTGGTGAAACTTGAKGTCATTTTCTCTTGTCCCATTACTTGTTACCTGGCAGAAGAGACCCATCCCACCTCACAAGAACCTTCTTTCAGGTGATTGTAGAGAGYRAGAARGTCCCCACTGAGACTCCTCCAGGATAAACTCTCAGCTCCTTCAGCCATTCCTCATCTGACTCGTGCTCCAGACCCTTCCCCACCTTTGTTGCTTTTCYTTGGATGAGAAACACCAAGGATTATGAACTCACCTTGATTTACAACAGAAGGAAACACTCACCTGAGGGTAAGGGTCAACTGCTGCTCCTTTGACTTYACCAGATCTCCTACTCTAAAAGTTGCACAGCCCAGGAAGCTTCGCTACAAATCAAAGCAGGAAAAAAAAAAAAAAAGATCAAATATCCATTCCTTTTTTAGTTGTTACTTTTTTTGGTCTCACATTTGAAAACTTTTCTCTGGTACCTAGAAAAATGTTGTATTTCAACACAACAGTTTGACATTYTATCCAGTAGAAATCTTTTATGCATCTATGACATAATTATAAGAAAACTGTTAAAAACTCAGGTTTTATGGGCAGGAAACTTTCTCTTTTCCATTAAGAGCACTCTGACAACCAGACAAAGTAACAGGTTGTAAGATGTACAGCYATAGGAAAATTTTTATTTTGCATTTTTTTGCTATTTTTCTAATTTCAGGATCACAAGAAATGCCAAGTTTTTAGTGTTTCATGAAGGTTGGTTTTGCTATGGTTTTTCCTCAAGCCTTTGGCACTACCATCCATGTATTCCAAATATGAACCTATTTGCTGGGAAGGTATTTTTAAATTGACTTCAGCACAAGTTTATTAATAGAAATGTTATATTTCTCTAGCTCTTGGCAATGTTTTAAGTACTTGTTTCCTCTATTTCCATTGTAAGGTGGACCTATTCACTGCATTACAAGTGCAGAGAAATGTGCTGATGCAACTAGAATGCCTAAAGTTAAATTAAGCTACACCACAATATTTTTCTCTTCTATAAAAAAATCACCTTCAAACAATAAAAAAAAAAGTACAATGAGGAAAAGGATTAAAACTTCTTTTGAAGATTTATCCCTTTTCCTCATTGTACTTCTTTTGAAGATTTAACCAATAACTTTGGTTATTTTTTAACCTCTGCTCATATCCTGCTGCATATTGCTGAATTCCCATATAGTCAACTTGGCCAGCAGTCATTTTCTTGTCTTGGGAACAATGGGAAGGGATCTAACAGCCAAAACCATCTCCTATCCATTTATCTTCCAAACATATAAAACACAATATCACTTGCACTAAATAAATTATAATGAGAGCATGATATTATGTTTAATTTTTGCAATAGAAGAGTAAGGATAAAAAGTTTGTTATTTATTACGTAACACAAAATTTACTGTTGGAATGGCAAATTTAAATTCCAGGCTAAATTATATACATTCTTGGAGATACAAATTAAAGAAGAATCAAGTCCCTCTGAGTCAACAGAAGCTGCCTGCAGAGAGCAACTTTCCCTTGAGGGAAAAAGAGAAAARAATCTGTCGCTGCTGAGAAGAGTTACTTTCTCTGGTAAGAGAAAAAAAAAAAAACCAAAAAATAACTGCAAACCTTCCAGCCTGTTTTCTTTCAGGAAAGGCAGCAGGATATTGAGTGTTTGAATGCAAACAATCCAGCTATACATTAAGATCAGTTTTCTTCCACATAAAATGTATAGTTCAAATCACAACTCTGAAATCAGATAAGAACCAACACTGGTCTCCAATTTGGTAAACTGAGTTAGGAGGTGTGGCTTGTTCGTAATGTTGGCACAGGCTTGGGTTTCCTATGCTTTTGTTGACACTTCAGCAGCAAAATAAAAAAAAAAGTTGAGAGTCTAGGGAACGCTGGGAAAACACGAGATCTGGGAAGGTATGAACAGGAAGAAAGGAAAAAAAGAGGCCTGTAGGATATATATAGAGAAAAATACCCCAGCCATACAAGCAAAGACCATGGTTAGTTTTCAGTGGCTGAGTGAAATGTAATTCTGCAAGAGAGACATCCAGGTGTGACACACGGTGATCCACAGCTGCAGTGAACACACAGATGGCTCTGTCTTCCTTTAGATCACTCAACATGACAGTGTTTYTGCACTAAAACTCTCTGCTCTCATGTCTAGCCCAGATTATTTATTTTCTTCCAAGAGCATATCCTTCTTCATACTGTAAGAACACATTCCACAGCACAGTGTCTATATGGCAGCCTTTATTCTGACATTTCATGACATTTGAGTGCTTGTATTTGAAGCCTGACCRTTTGGAAAGGGGGAAAGGGGTATTTGGAAAGAAACTGATATGAGGTTTGGCCACTTGGGGCTTCTTTCTGCAGCACAAAATAATACAAATCTATTGAAGAATCTTTAGCCAGAGCCCTCATGTGACCAGGGCCAAGAAGCAATTTCACTGCTCTCTTATACWGTCAAAGAGCTTTGGTCATGGTACCCACCACCTCTGAGTGTCATATCTACATCTCCAGGGTTATRAAATTAAAGTGAATGACTTTATCARMTTAAAACATTCCACTTAGTTGTCTGTTTCATATTTTTATGCTTATTTAGAAAAAAAAAAATCTTTGCTTGACCATTTGGAGGTATTTACAAAATCAAATAAAAATTTTAAAAGATCCCTTGACCGAAACGAAGATTTATGCTGGTATTCAAGGGGTTTAATATCAAACTGGAAAGTATTTTTTCCATACTGATTTAGATGTCAGTAGTCCATCCTGGCAGTCTACAAACCAATCTAACTTTGCCCACGTGACTAGGAGAGGCTTGAAAAACAGGCTTTAAACAGACTTGCTGCTGTAATGCTAATTGCAGAGTAATGTTCCTTTGTAATTTTGCTAGTGTTGTAGTCACAATTATAAATCTTGAGATAGGTGCATTGAGTAGATGATGAACAATCTCAGGCAGCCAAAGAGAAAAGTCTCTATATCASCTACATGAAAAGCTAAACCACATCGATTATTTTGCTAAGATTGAACTTGCTGCCAAGCTACAGATTTTTCAAACACTGGCTTAAGWCCTGAAAAAAAACTATGCCAGGAAAACCCTGGTAAGGTCAGGAAAGTCAACACCTTAGGCTAAAAATTAAAAAGTCCAGTTACTTTACATGATTGCAGACWGATCTGACACCTTTGGCCTTTTATTCAGCTCTAGTAGGACCAACATACCCGACCCCACGAGATGTCCATATTATCTGGAAGGTTTTAGCCTTCTCAGACCCAGAGACTAATTCCCAATTACATATTTAGGAAATGCCATTCCAGGCTCTCAGTCTCATTCAGATTGCTTGTATGGCATTAGCAGGGAGTTCAGACAGCTGTGCTTGTCTTAGGATAGCTTCAGCTGAAAAAGATTTTCAAAAACGATGTGAATGGGATTAGATCAATGAGAAACTCTCTCCTGCCTTGGTTATTTTATTCATTTAACCCAACATTTGCTATTAAAAAAGCTTGTCAGCTCCTGTTGAGCAGKGGGTGTCTGTGCCTGCTGATGAGGTGGGAAAAAAAATCAGTCTGTGAAAATAATTGCTTACCCCAACATCTGCTCTTGGTTCCTTGTGATCAGGTAGGACACTGGTGCGGACCTGAGAGAAGGGAGAGGAAAAAAGGCAGTGAATCATCACATTTTTTGCTGTTGCTTTCCAATAAGAATGAAAAGAGTCTTCATGCCTTTCTTTCCTCATATTTTTTGATGTTTTAGAGATTAATTTAAATACAGTTATATATATCATTTATAACAATTAAGTAATAATTAAAGCACAGCATCTGCTGGTTCCTGAGGAAAAAGTCTCTTACCACTGCTTATTTATCATTCTGAACTTTCCTGAGTCACTGAAGAGAGAAAAGCTGTGTTCAGTTGCTCCTTTACTAAAAGGAGACTTTTTGTCTGTAACTTGAGTGACAGAATCCTTCATCTAGAGGTGTTATCTGGAAACAAAATTTCTAACCTCAGGGGAAAGAGCACAGTACATTAAAAAGTATTTCCTCCAAATAAATACTTGCCTTAAGAGCTGACCTGAGGCAGAAATCCTGATCCCCAGTCTCACTCAGTGCATGACCCTGCCTCCTCTACCACTTTCTGAGCATCTCTGAGGTCAGAGAGGTTTGTAGGCATCACAGAAGGAAAATCTCTGTATTCCCCCCTACAAAGGAGCTCCACTCATCCCTGCATTTTCTGTGAGGTGGAGCTGCCATTGYATTCAACTACTTTTCATTTCACAAGAGCAGGCATGGGATAACCTGGYTTCCTCCTCTACATTTCCCAAAATGGAGTACGGGTTGGTGGGGGGTGTCCTTAGTGTGTTTATAATTTTATTGTGGAGTGGTTTTTGAGAACACACAACTGATTAAACAGCAAAAATTAATAGAAAAACTATAAGAAAACCTCTGTGACATCCCTCTAAAATTGCCTGGAAGGGCCAAACCCAAGCCTTTGGAAAACTTTCTGTTAAAAGCAGCACACAAGGGAGAATATACTGAGCATCCACATCTGTTTGATTATCAGTCTAAATAACAGATATTCGTTCCCCAAGGACAAATTTTTGGCTTGATTTCCAAGGAAATCTCAAACTCATTTTGYAAATCTCTCAGCAAAAGACTCGTCTTTTTTTGCATGCCCTCAAATGTGACCCCCAATTCTTCTCTTCTAAGCTCCAAACTCAGGACACAAAAAGAAACCCTGCTTTCAAGCAAACATAATTTAATTGTCTGTTTGTTATTCTAAATACATGCTGTTAAAAAGCACCAGCATAAAGTCTGCCACAAAGATGTGACAAAGTAGAACCACAGCTTTTCTCAGTCAGCTCCTACCACTTGATTCCCTGCAGTAGAACACTTTTTTCCCACAAAAGCTTGAAGATAGTAAAGAATGCTATAATTCATTTAATGAGRGACAGCATACTTTAGAAATACGTGGGAGTCCTCATTTGGATGCACTTTTACATTTAGATTTTCCCCACTCATATAACATTAGCAACTCCAAAGCTTTCTGCAGAAAACTAGTACAAAATGGTCAATAACAACATTTKGATCCAAAAGTTACCTTTAAATGCTTCAAGTCACAAATGAAAATGAAATTACTGACATTTCCATGYTGGTGATGCCCATCTTACCCTTTTGAAGTTGGGAAAATAACTTAGAGCAGATGTGTTTCTTAAAAGAAAGAAATTTCATGTAATTTTAAGATTCTAAAAAGTTGGTTTATGTGTCAGACTCAAACAGTTGACAACTGGCCCAACAAGTGAGGTGTTGACATTTCGTAATTATTATTATGGATGTCTATTCAAGAAAAATAAACAAATAATTTATCAATTAACATTCCTCTTCATAATCTCCTTACATATTTGTAACCCAGCAGCAGTTCAGCAAATATTTTAAAAAGTAAACAGGTTTTTGTATGAAAATAAGTTGTGCTTCACAGAGAGAGAAAGTTCAAGTATCTTTTACACTTATTGAAATCAAGGGAATTCAACTCATTTAGAATCATAGAATATTAATTCATGCTTTAGCTGGATAAAACTCAGTTCAGGAGGATGTGTTTCTGCTTTTCTGACTCAACAGAGAAGAGGAAAGGGRTGTCAACAGCTGACTAACCTACAGCCTTCCGTATAATAAAAGCATATTCCTAAATGTCAAATGGATTTAAAACACAAAAACAATTTCTGTTGCATTTTGCAATACTTTTTTTGTTCAGCTAAGTTTGTTTTCATTTGGTTTTAACCACTTTATAACCAGTAGCTGTACAGACAAATGTAACTGTGTTTGGTGGGACTGACATTAGATTGTATTTCTCTTCTTCCCAAAATACATTTTACTTACAATTAATTTGAATATCTTGATCCAAGTGTTTGTAAATATATGTAATTTTAGAAACAGTTTTATTATTTGATATACACTGAAAGAGAAATTGCATACAAGTATGTTAAGCACATACTTGGCAGCCACAGTCACATTGTCTGTTGATYGAATTCCTGAACAAACTCTCTGAATGCTACAATTATTGGGATATCTTTATGGGATGTTCACACAGGCCTCATTACAAACACAATGTCAGCTCAGAACCAAGTATAAAACTTCTTATACTTTATTATATAAAGTATAAGAAGCAAGTCAGTTCTAGTCCCAATCCACAAAATGTAAGAGAAAAAAAAGGAGATAAATACAAAGGATTTGAAAGGTCAAATACCCTCCCCGTACCTTTCCTGATTAAACAAACTGCTGCACTTTTTAAAACCTTGCCTTAAAACAACTTTTCCCTACTGGCCCCAAAAGTATTCTAGAACAACTACAAAAATATAAATGTGAACAAAAAGTCAGATTTTAATCCCAAGTACCCACTACTCTGTTAGAATTTCAGTTTTCTCCTCATTTGCCCTAGGTTTTCCTGTTCAAAATGCAAACCTCTGAATGGGGAGTTTATTCACAAGTGGGGTAAGACCACGCTTCCCTGGAAGAGCACACTCTACACCTTTGCCTCCCCAGACAAGAAGAGAGCTCAAAGGTATGCAAGAAACACAGCTTGTAGCCTAGGCTAAACGCAAAATGCTGGTAACAAGTGTCCATTCCTGTGATTTTGTTTGTGGAATAATACAGGTATCTTGCATACACCTCAGCTGGTTTTACCAGGAAGAACACCAGTGGGCAAGAGTGGGCACTCATGATATGCTTAATTTTCTTTAAATCTCATACAGAATAATATGCAATGAGTAATGCATTTATCACAGACATATCTGTTAAATTTCTYTAGGCATAAATGCTAAATTCAGCTTTAATTAACTGTCCTTTAGTAGAAGGCAGTTATGTATGATTAAAAACAACATTTCTTTCAGTCGTTTGCAGCACTCTGAGACAATCCACTGTCAAAGTTCAGAAGATTGAATCATTACCATTCCTGAATCTTTTGTGCCTGCCCTTAATGAAAGCCTTTGCATTTCAGTTGATGATCAAAGGCTGTGTTCAGAATGCACGCAAGTTTAGCAAACAAATAATGCCAGATCCTTTCCTTGGTTACCTATGGAATTACTCCATGAAATCAGCGGAGGTTTTCAGCGATTTCCCGGTACTCACCACTGCTGGCTGCTCACATGCACTGTTCTGCCATCACTGCTGTACCTCCCCCATGGCATCTCACAATAACCAGGTACAGAACAAACCAGGCAAAGCACAGGGAGAAAGCAACTACTGAAAGCAATCACTGAGAAATCAACTGGCACTCCTTCATTAGAGCACCTTCCAGGAGAACATTCCCAGCCTCAGTGAAGCTCTGGCGGTGACACAGGAACGCAGAGTGCACACACATTAACCTGGAGGGGCTCAGGGACAGCCACCATTGGCACTGTCCTTCCCTGCAGGGAAAGGAGCACTGAACTGTGCTCACACAGCCACTACAGCTCCACACACACACAGCTGCTGTGGGCAGTCAGCCCCATCCTCACCACCACTGCCAGCCAGGCACCATCACCCATCAGAGACCAGGAGTAACTATTTGTTGGAACTTTTCAATCACAGAAGTTGCAGCTTCATGTGTTTGTGCTGGGAGAGCTGAAAATGCTGATATTGTYACTGGGTTCTGCAACAACATCAATCAGCTTTTATAGGATAGAGCCCATTCCAGTACATGCAGCAAATTTATTTTTRAAAGAAGATATTGCACATTCACCAGCCATTTATTTTCATCATATGGATTAACAATTTGCTAAATAGTTCAATCAACATATTGTAGTCAGCAAAGTAAAACACTTCCATCAATACTTTGTTGGATATGTGCTTATTGGATGGAGRACAATACCAATACAGTAATTTTCCAACCTTTAGTGCATAATTATTTCCAAGAGTCCATGTAAAGCAAAAGAGAAATTTTTTTCCCCGATAGGCACGCACATGGTACTGCACGGTTTACAGTTTCTATGGAAAAGCTGATATGCAGAGACACTAATAAACAAAAAAAACTGAATTAAAGATGAAAACAAATAAAGGAAACACAGGCTATATCAAACTACCACAATGTCTTTGTAGTGTTATAATAAGTATATGATGTTTATTGTATATAAACTCAAAATAAAAACTTTATATATATATATGTATATATATGTATATATGCATTCCCTCCTGCAGATAGTAGGGAAAATATGTATGCCCTTATTACTTGCTGAATAGCAACTGACAGTTTCATCTGTTTACTTCTCTGAAAAGGTCGAGCAGAAGGGCAGGACTATCTGCATCCTTTCCATCGGCAGTGTGTGAAYGTGACTCTTGTGCAGAGCAGGAGCCAAACCCACTCACTTGTGCAGCGCTGACACTGCACAACCTCCAGGCACATTTCTCAAGATGTAATGTGAGGGTAATAGAAAATGCACACATCTCAGTCCCTAAGAATCATCATAAACTGATTTCTTTCAGATATCTCYACAGCTCAGTGTCTTTCTCTGTGCAGGCTGCACCTTTTTGTGCTTTCTGGAGARCACCTGGCACAAGAGAAGCATTATGAGATCCCACAAGCAAAGACTGAGGTTAACAGAGTTTAACAGCTTATGTAGGTRCATAACTTGGTGTATGATTAATGAGCAGAAAAAACCAAAACT